ACATACCATTGTTCTAAAATGTGCTCGTCAAACAGTCTATGGTGAGCTCTGTGTAAAGTATGTAATAGTCCCGACAATCAGGAACCTCTCCCTCTGTTTAAACCTCTGTAGAACTTCTCAATGTTGCTCATGCTATGGTTAAAGAAAGTTCTCAACGCTGTTGCGGAGGGAGGAAGAGACACCCTCGAGGCAGAGTCTTTGACTGCGACCATAACTGTCTTGCTAAAACCTGGAAAAGACGCGTTGAACTGTTGTAGCTATCGCCTGATCTCACTGCTGAATGTGGACACCAAGCTGTTCATGAAGGTTATGGCGTCTAGACTCCAGTCAGTCTTACCATCTTTGATACACGCTGACCAGACAAGGTTTATTCCAGTGCGAGAGGCATGAGATAGCACACTACAGCTGTTCTCAATTCAACACCACGCGAGGAAGTCACGGCAATGCCTCCTATTACTCTCAACCAACGCTGAGAAGGCGTTTGACTGTGAGAACTGGTCTTATATGTTAGCCACCTTGAGGAAAATGGGATTGAGACAGAGACTCCTGGCCTGGATCACTGCCTTGTATAGCAAACCACGTGCTGTGGTAATGGTCAAAGGGGCCCTGACAGCCAACAACGGAACAAGGCAGGGGTGCCCCTTATCCCTGCTGTTGTTCACTATGTCCCTGGAACCCCCGCCCCATGCACTTTGCCGGCACCCAGATAGTTGGGGTTACACCCGGCAGGGGGTGGAACACCCATTGTACAGCGCTACAGAATTTGTTGGTGCTATTTAAATAATAATAATAATAATAATAATAATAAGGTCGCCGCCTATGCGGACAGGGAGGGGGTTTCGTGGTTCACATTTAAGTACCTCGGTCTGTGATATGTGGGGGTCCCTGGTGCCGGGGGCGCGACTTCTCCTGGCAATGACCACACCATCTTCTTACCTACTTGCTGCTACTATACTTAGATTCTTTCTACTTTCTCACACCACAGACTCATTCCCCTGTCAACTGAGGACAGATGAGTGGTAGAGCTGAAGGAGGGAATTAAGCTTTTGAAGGAACGTATACTTTCTATCTGATTGAACAAGGAGGTTCCGCAATTTAACTTGCAATGTTCTCATTCCTCAGCTATGTCTATTGTAACCAATCACAATAGCGAAGCTGACAAGCATTGGAATGTTTACCAAAGAATTTGTAAGCACATATCGACCAAACTAAAAGTTGCGAGGCCTGCGATCTTGCTCTCCTGCCTTACTGCCTATATACTCATTTATGTTTTACTCTTCTGCAAAACTACTCTACAAATAAAGATTCTCAAAAAACAAAAAAATCATTCCTATTTTCTAAGGTAGAAGACAAACTTTATTTTGGCTGCTCCCCATTTCTCTATTCCTCTTCTACACAGATTGACAGCTGCAGAGGGCAGAGCTTGTAACAAAGATTAACAGGGAGCCAGCAAGACCATGTTCAGTTCCAGGATAAAAGGTAAATATACTGGTGTAGATTTTGATATTTAAGTTTTATTTTTCAAACGCATAGTTCTGTCATGTCACACTCAAAAAAAATACAGTATTTCATAAAGGTAAACACGTTAATTGTTTAAATATAATACTGCATAGAAAATAATTTGCAAAAAAAAAAAACTTGTATTGTGAAAATAACATGCTGTACAGCAGCCATCCTTCCTGATACTGACAAATTCCCACAGAGAAATGGCACAATTGCAGGATGCCTGGATCCTCATATTTGGGTTTTAAAGGGCGTCAACAGGGTAACACAGCAAAACAATATTTCTAAAACAACTAAGGCAAAAACAAGAAAAAGCAAACCTTCACCCCAAGGTATCAGTTAATGTGAGACGGACATCTATATAATTTTTGTACAAGCCAATAGCTAATTAGGTTGTTTTTTTTTAAATTTGCATTGCAGGACTGTCTTAGAATAGCCAAAAAAGGAAATCAAAATGTCTTTAATGTGCAATGTGCCTGGCACACAGGCGTACATGTGGAACTATGGAAGGAATGCCAAGATGTGCATGTGTGCCCAGTAGACCTCAGGTAAGACATCAAACAGTTCTAAAAACAGTTTGATTCTTTACAATTGGGGTGCCAGTGCTGTAATGCTTAGGATACTTGGAGTGTTCCTTTCTTAAAGCCGATCTGTAACATTTAATTATTTTAGAAAGATATAATCATTATGAAAGACTACGTTGGAATTCAATTGAAAAAAAAATTAAAGTAGGTTCTACTTTATCTTGTATTAAATCCTGGGGGTTGAAAGTAAGTTGACAACAACAAAAAAAAGAAAAAAACAGGTTCTGTTGTCTTTAGAGGTTCCTTCTTTATGGAATCCTCGACAGACTTCAGTGTTGTACTCTGCTGAAGAGCCAAGAGTCAAAGAGGACCAAGTGTCAAGATGATGGCCAGTGCCAAGTAAAACTCACCAACCCAGCACACCATCCAAATTAGCAAGAACCAGGGTGCTTTGCAAAATGTGTACTGGACAACAGTCCAATAAACTGTGTATTACAGAAAAACAGTATGACTAGGCATGTTGCCAATCCAGGGATACAGTACAAGTAGTATAAAAAAACACCCTTTTACAGCATCTGATAACAAGTACACGTAAGGAACAAGCAAGGATATCATTACAGCAGTAATAAATGATTATGCAATTACCTAAAACAGTTGTATAATAGTTAACGGTTTGGAGAGAATATATATATACACACACACATATATATATATATATACACACATATACATACACACACACACACTTTATTTTACTACTGTGATTTTAAAATGTAAGTAATAATAAATGTTTTAAACATTTAAATATTATGTTTAAGTGGAACTCTCTCACATGGGGCAACATCATGGGGATGTAGAACATCAAAAGGGATCGTTGCATTGTTCATGGTGAAAAGATTTTATGGGAGCAGTATGTGGTAATGGCTATTTGGCCGATTAACATGCTGCTATCTTGCACAAAGATCTTTAACACAACATGATGAAGGTGTGAGCTCATCATATGATGTCCCAGGCTGTTCAGAGCAGGCCTTGTGCGCCAGAGATTCTTCTAATTTTTGTCAGACCAATTTTAAATTGTTCGACAAAGTCAGGGGGAATGCACCCAAAGTTTCCTTGCTCCATAACCAACACAATAAGCTGGGAGAAGCCCTCCTTTCTTGATGCCATTATCTTCAGCTCCTAGCAGAAGAGGCCATCATTACGCATAAGGGTACATAATAGGGGTCTACAGAAGATCACTATGAGACTATGAACATTAGCCCCTATAATTGACAAACTGGGGACAGTTTCCATGCACTTTAACCACTACAATGAGCAGTGGTAGTTATGGTACTTAGAGAGCCACTCTAATATCAAATAATTCAAAAGAACAGACTGCAAATTTAGGAGTATGTCACCTGGATAAACAGGGAGAAATGCCAAGGTAACTGCAGGTTGGAAAGTCTGCCACTTGAACTGATGTGTTGTTCTGGCATATTACTATCATTTATTTAGTACCATTACTCTGCGGTACTTTCCACTTATACCGTAGGGATTTAAATATCCCCCCCAAAAATTAGGTGATACTAAGGTAATGCGAAATACTTCACTGTGAAATAATATAACAAATGACAATTGTTCTTATATTTCTTAATTATCACATCTGACTGTCAATACAAACTTGACAGTCGCAGTTAAAGGAACAATCTAACCAGCATAACTACTACTCAACATTGATTATACAGCTAATAGTCTGAATGCTGGGCCACAGTTCTGTGTCAAACTGTTTAGATGTGCGACAACATTGGTGCTCTGCCCAGCACCCAGATATCATCCCCTCTCATTGATAATGCAAAAGTATAAACACCACATTAAGAGTTAATGCTGTCAAACTGGAAAGGCAATAATATACTGAAAGTGCTGGACAAACCCACCCCGGCAGTGACTCTCAGCCAATCATTCACACTGGACAAAATATTGATTAAGGGACAGCGCAAAAAAATAAATAAAGTTATACATCTTATAAGGCTATTTAAAATCATCTCTCTCTGCAAACAACTGGGATTCAGTCCTACCATTTGGCCATATTGTGTTACGCCCACCACTACTTTACAATACCCCAATATCAATGGCTCCTACACTAGACAAATTAAATAGTGCTAAATAAGCTAGTGGACATTCATGCCGGACAAAACTGACTTGTTGCTGAGAGGGGGGCAGCGGTTGTCAGGTGTCATGTTGCTTATATTGTCCATTTAACTTTAATCACTGGTTCTCATCAGAACACTTGAGATCTACTTCTACATGCACGTGCGACCCTTGTCTTTATTTTGTCGCCATGACACCTCAAGAATATGTCGTTGGGTAACCTAGCAGCTGGGTGAACCAATTCCTATCACGCACAGCCAATCCCATATTGGCTGATAATCCGGTGTCTTGCACCAAGGCCCATTATGTATCAGTATGAACAAGCACTATTCTAGGGGCAAAATAGCAATTATTTAAAGGCAGTCTATCAGATTCCATGGTGGCTGCGCCTAACTCATTACTGGGACTTTAAAACAGTGTCTCCATGTCTGTAAACCCATTCCACTACTGATGGCAGCCATGTGCACAGCAGCTGTAGAGGACTCGCCTTCCCATGATGCTCAGGGAATCAGGGGCCCTTGTAGAGCTTCATGGGTAATGCCCACAACAGAGAACTTTGCTAAATCCCCATATTGTCCTATAATGTCCCTGTATTGCTGGGATCGCAAGTTAAAGGAGCAGCTTTCATGGTGTGAACAGACTTTCTATTATTTTTGTTGATGATTTCCCCCCCCATCCCCATCCCCATCAATTGCTGATGACAACAGCTCAGTCACGTGATCAGAGTTCACACCTCTCACGTGAGCTGCAGGTTAGCCCCGCCCACCTGCTGTGCCGCGCGTTCTGATTGGCTGAGCGGCGGTGCGGGCTTTCACCTGTCCTGCAGGTTAATGAACGTCTTCCTCACCTGGAACGGGTTGACGTCCACGGGGTCCGCGAACGGGTTGGTATCGTAGCTGGCCATGGCCGGTGAAGGGCTGAGCTCGCGCTGTGTGTCTGTGTGGAGCCTCCCGCCGGGGACTCCTCTTCGGCTGGGAATCTTCCGGGATGTGACGGGGCAGACGATCCTGGGCGGGGTTACAGCGTGTCCGGGAGGGCGGGGCGTGTCAGTCATCGCGGCCAATCACAGCCTTTGGAAGGAAGAGGCCGGGCTCGGCGCCCAATCAGGCAGCGAGCAGCTCGGGGAAGGGGCGGGGCTTGGCTGACAGTTGCTCGCGGTCTTCCTGCTCGACCAGGGGTGTGGTCAGCGGCTGAGGGCGGAGCTACGCACCTGCCCAATCCCCTCCCAGCAAGCTCAGGCGGGGGGCGGGGTTTGCTCTGTTGGCAGGTGAGGGTGTGAGCGAGCGGGTGAGACGTGCTGACGTCACACGGGACACTTTGGAGTGTATACGTCATCATGAGCCCTCCGCGTTGTAGTTATAAGAAGTGAAGTATGGCGCGGCTGTCACCATGGTAGCCGCCAGTGTCAGGGCTCGGTGAGCATGCTGGGAGTGGTAGTCCTGTGATGTTAATATTCCGCGGCCACACAGCTCCATGGCCAGTGTGTCGGCCGCCTGGCTGGCAGGGTGCCCTGATGACGTCATCCTGCGGCGCGGACTACACGTCCCGGCATCCCCCGCGGGCGGTGCGCTCAGTCTGCGGGAGCGGAGGTGAAGGTGGGAGCGATGGCCGAGCCGCGAGGTGGGTAGAGCGGCTCGCGGGGGATACCTGGCTGGGAGGGGGGCGGAGAGCATGCTGGGATATGTAGTCCGGCTCTGCCAGGGGGTTATTCAATAAAGGAGGGGAGTGTCCGCAATGCAGGTGGGATTAACTCCATAGAATGGCAGCATTGAGGCAGAGAGCTCTCCACCCTGGCTGTGGTTACAGTGACAGCTTGGTGAATTGCTCTATCTGGATACAATAGCCAGGGCACACATTCAGCTATTTTAACACAAATTTCAACTGTTGGATTTCAGGTCACTAGACTTTTTTTTTTTTTTTTTCTTATTTATTTATTATTTTTTTTTGTCTAACTGTAACAAATCCTGTTTCCAGTTCAGTATTGGTGAATTACAACTTCAGCTGATTGAAGCGGTTATTGGGGCTATATAGTGTCCTGGTGCCGCCTTTCAGGGGGTTAAACTATTCTCCAACTTTTTACCCCAATTAATTTGTCGCCCAGTGCCCGATGCCATTGTCCCGTAGCTTCCTTCACGCCTGCACAGTATGAGGATGGTTTTGCTGGGTGCATGATGAAAAGGTGTCTGGTTAAGCCTCCCTCATACTGCAATTTATGGAGTTAGAAAGCCAGGAGATAATGGTGTTAGAACCAAAATATTTGGAGTTAGACCATGGTAAAAACTGTTTAACCCCGCACCTGGACACTCCTGCCCCATAACAATGGTACGGGGTTGGGAGTTGCTTTAATACGGCAATCAACTGAAGAATTAAAAAAGTAACCTTGTTAAAGGAACTACTAAGCACCATGACTATGCAACCTACTGGAGTGCCTTGGCTCCATCTCTGGGTACAATGTAAAAGTAGTAGCATGGTTTGACAACTTACCTGGGTCCTGTCGCTCACGATCATTGGCTGAAAATGTCAGCAGAGCCCTCACATTAAATGAGTGCAGTCCTTTACTCTAAAGTGACATCTGACTACCGTGGGCTTTGGAGTGTCCCTTTAGCACCACCACACTAAGATGCTTTGGTACAGTCACAGAGGACAATGTCTTGACCTTCTAATCTCCGAGCCCACTCACTTCATATTATTCCTTTGCACCTTTTGCTTTCCCTCACTCCTGTTCTAAGACCTAGTTTAAGTCATCTTTATCATTTTCCTTTTCATAGGCACGTTCCCTGCTTCTTACAAACATGCGCTCATCACACTAATTATAAAATAAGCTCTCTTCTTCAGCCAACTATTACCCTATATATCTTATGCCACTCTCTTTAGTCTGTAATTTCGAAAATCCAGCATCCATCTGCTTCAAATAGTATTCCAAGCATCATGACCACGTCAGTCTTTTGAAGTTATGGGGCAAGAATTACTTGTATAAGCAGTGTTTTAGCTGGGTTGGCTGAAATTATAGAAACGCTCATTTAAAAAAAACCAAAAAGATTACGTCCAAAGAAAATATGAATGTAATCTGTTGTGCATGTACCTTTGAGAGTACAGTATATGAAATCTTGGCTAGCAATAGCTACTGCACACCATCCCCTTCTTCCCCAGCACATATTTCCTGTGAGTGTCCAGACACAGACTTAATAGACTGTAGTACAGCTCAATGAGAAGTCTTTGCAAGGCAGGTGTTCTAGGCAATCACTTGCATCTTCAGCTCTGTGTGAACACACACCTACAACCCCACTACATATAAATACTCTCTTAAATTAACATTTGTAGCCTATAATTGCCACCAAAGAATGGATGAATAATGTGTAAGTTAACATCTGCGTTGTGTGAGTATTTATTATTAATATATAAAGCGCCAACAAGTTCCATAGTGCTGTACAATGGGTGGACTAACAGACATGGAATTGTAGCCAGATAAGTTGAACACACAGGAAAAGAGGGATTAAGGGCCTGGCTCAATGAGCTTACATGCCAGATGGAGGTGGGTAATGTGACACAAAAGGTAAGGGCAGGGTAGAAAAGTATGTTGCCAGGATATTATTCACTGAGGACTAGGTGTTGTTTTGATTACTGTTGGAGAAGAGGAATCAGGGTGCGGGGAGAGAAAGCTGTTCCGTTTAATTGATACGCTTTCCTAAAGAAGTAAGTTTTCAAAGATTCTTTGAAGTAGTGGAGACTGGGTGAAAGTATAACAGAGAGGGGAAGGGCATTCCATAAGAACAGTGCAGCCCTAGAGAAGTCTTTAAGGCGAGCAACAGAGATAGGAGTATCAGGATCTTAAATTGAGTCCTGTATCTTATGGGAAGCCAATGTAGGGACTGACAGAGGGGGGAGGTGCGGGCGGACAGGAAGAGGAGCCTCGCCACCGCATTCATTATAGATGTAACGGGGAAAGTTGTATAGCAAGGAGCCAGGCTTTAACTCCTTAAGGACTGTGGACATACTGGGTACATCCAACAAAAAAGGTCCTAAAGGAAATCGGGTGTACCTAGTATGTCTGCGGCAAATATTTTACTTACCAGATCGCCGCCGTTGCCCCCAGTCTGGGGGGACTGCCTGACAGCCCCCCTAGGCAGTCACCCCTAGGCAAAATAGACCCCCCCAGGCCATGTGCTCGCTCTGAAAGAGCGGGCACATGGCTGCAATAGGCGTCCATAGTGCTGCCTGCAGAGGGACTGCTTAAACTGACAGGCAGTCTCCCTGCATCTGTAAAATAAAAAGTTATTAAATAAAAAAAATAGTGTGTGTGTGTGTGTATATATGTATGTATGTGTGTATATATATATATATATATTCCGCATATAAAGTTGGCTGCACTCTGGTCTTTAAAATTTTTAAATATTTATTGAATTCAACAAAAAATAAAAGCGATCGTTTCAGTCCCCCCTGGGACTTTCTTCAGGATCAAAATATACAATGATCCTGAAGAAAGTCCCAGGAGGGACTGAAATGTTGATTGCTTTTCTTTTTTGTTGATTCAATAAATATTTACGTTTTTAAGACTACCATACGATCTCTAAGGCTACATAACCAATCTTCAATATTTGTGTTCAGCAAAGTCTCCTGAGTATAACAGTACCACCTACAGGTACAGGTTTTTTGGTGTTTTTGAAAGTTACAGAGTCAAATATAAGGCTTGATTTTCTGTTTTTTTCACATTGAAATTTGCCAGATTGGTTATGTTGCCTTTGAGAGCGTATGGTAGCCCAGGAAATGAGAATTAACCCCCATGATGGCATGCCATTTGCAAAAGAAGGCAAGCCAAGGTATTGCAAATGGGATATGTTCAATCTTTTTTAGTAGCCACTTAGTCACAAACACTGGCCAAAGTTGGCGTTGATAATAGTTTTTTTGCATTTTTAACACACAAATATAAATGCTAACTTTAGCCAGTGTTTATGACTAAGTGGCTAGTAAAAAAAAGACTGGGCATACCCCATATTGAATAATCTGGGTTGTCTAATTTAAAAAAAATATGTACATGTGAGGTGTGATTCAGAGATTTGACAGATAACCGTGTTACAATGTCACTTTTGATTTTTAAAAATATATATTTTGAAACAGCAATGTCCTACTTATACTTATAGCCCTATAACTTGCACAAAAAAAGCTACGAACATGTTAACATTGGGTATTTCTAAACTCACAACAAAATTTAAAAACTATTTAGCACGGGTGTTTTTTGGCGGTTGTAGATGCATTACAGATTTTGTGGGTCAAAGTTATAATTTTTTTTTTTTTTTTATAATTTGTTTTATAGTAAATTATATGATATACTGAAAATAATGGTATCTTTAGAAAGACCATTTAATTTTGAGAAAAACTCTACATAATATGTGTGGGTACAGTAGATGAGTAAGAGGAAAATTACAGCTAAACAGAAACACTGCAGAAATGTAGAAACAGCCCTTGTCCTTAACAGTAAGAAAATTGAAAAACTGTCTTGTCACTAGGGGGTTTAACGCTGGTAGGGCCATGATATTTTTTCCAAAACTGTTCAGTAAGTTTGGCATAAAATGGGGCACCCAAAGTCTCTGCACCATAACTACGAAAATAAACAATGACCTGTAGTTAGAGCTTTACAGGATTATGCACTAATCTACAAATTGTCTGGAATTTACCAGGGAACTGCAATTTTATTTTCCATAGACAAATTGGAAACCTTGTCTTAATCAGCTATGTGTCCAGCTCATCTATTTTGTCCTTTAAATATGTAATTGCCTTGCAGTTTCCCAAGATGGCCTTCCTGGTAACAGTTCTCCAAGTGCAGTAGGCAAATTCTTCCAGGTATCTGACTGTTTTCAGCGAAGGCCAATGTCCATGACTCCTCCATAAGAAAAATATTTGGCAAACATGGGTTTCCTTTTAGAATGCATAGTAAAAATGGCTGATCACTGTTGAGAACACTAGTTCACAAATTAAATGTTCTAAGGCAAAGCAGGTTGATCCCCCAAATTGTGGGACAGTATAACATGAGCCAATGAGTTAATCTGGAACTTTGTGGATGACATAGGTGACGTTTTATTTGCTGTATTCCACATTAAGAACCTGCTGAATGTTTTAATATAAATTGATCATTCTGTTGTACAATAATAGTTTTCATATTTTTCTCAGCTACTTCATACATTTCTCTCCCCTTCTTATTCATGCACAGTGTTCCCCCTATCGTGTGTCGTTCAGGACTATGCATGGGGCAAACTAGGCAGTGACAGTGTTGTAGCACAGCTATGGTCAAGAGGTGACCCCGATCGCCAGATAAACTCAGAAAAGCCCTATGCTGAGGTAACTTTACAAGCTTCCATTCGCTCATTCTTCAAAAGTACTTTGTGCTTCTAACTATTCCTCAATTTATCTTTCTCCCCCCCCGCCCTTGCTACTTTTTCTCCTTGTGATATTTTTTTTCTCACCATGCCTTCACTGTCTTTTTTTATGCTTCCTTTTCTGTTTGTTCCAGTGTTAGTGATTCCCGAGTATAACTCAACATTTTATATTTCTTTCTGTTTTCAATATGTTATCTTCTCTATTACCGGGTGTATCACTTTCTGTAATTATTCTTCTCTTAAACAGCTGTGGATGGGATCTCACCCCAAAGGAGATGCTCTCATCATAGACAACCGGATTACTGAGAAGACCTTGAGTCAGTGGATCTCTGCTCACCCCGAGTGCCTAGGGTCAGCAGTCAGAGAGAAATTCCAGGATCAGCTTCCATTCCTGTTTAAAGTACTGTCTGTTAGATTAGCTCTGTCCATTCAGGCACATCCAGACAAGGTAAGATTCTGGGTAGTAGGAAATGATTGTCCGTGATGAGGTCAAGAAGAAAGCAGTGGTATGAAAGTGAGGAATAGAGTAAACTGAGGGTAAAGGTGAAAGGGGTATTGAAGAGAATAGGGAAATCAGGAGATATATGTCAATAAAGGCAAAGATAGAATGCAGGAGTTTGAAATTTTACCCTGAACAGTCCTTGCTTCCGTACTTTTTTTTTTATTTTTTTAATTATTTTATTTATGCTCATCTTCCTGGCCCTCATGCTTTGTTTACCAGTGGCCAGTTCCTTAGAAGGTTCTCTTTCTTTTAGACCCTGGCCAAGAAGCTCCATACTCAGTTTCCTCAGCATTATCCTGATGATAACCACAAACCAGAAATGGCAATAGCACTTACCCCTTTTCGAGGCTTGTGTGGCTTTCGGCCTATTCCTGAGATTGTAGCTTTCTTGCGAGGTGAGCTCTCTATATGTTAATGTTACTCTTCAGAAAAATCTAAAGCACAAAATGGTTAGAAGCCCATCTATTTTTCAATTGACAGATGTCCCTGAGTTCCGAGCTCTGATTGGCCAAGAGGCGGCTCAGAATTTGGAGTCTGTTGCAGCAAGTTCTGATGAAGCCCAAATACGGAGTGCTCTGCAGAGATGCTTCACATGCATGATGCAGAGCGGCAAGAAGGAGTGTGCAGAACAGCTTAATCTGCTTGTACAGCGTGTGTCCCAACAAGGTAAAAAGAAAAACCTAGACACCCACCAATATCTTCATATTTTAATGCAGTGGTTCTTAACCTTTTATTGACAACTTTATTTACCTAACATTATCTTGGTGACACATTTTTAAAGTGTAACTAGCTCAGTGACCTATTCTTGGATTGTAATGTAATAAAATAAATGTTGCCAAAAATCTTTAGTAACTCAAAATAGAAAATGAGAACAGCACCTACCATCAAGGCTGTTTTTAATGCGGGGCAAATGGGGCAGCTGCCCTGAGCCCAGTTACTCCTGGAGGGCCCAAAGCAACTGTTTGTTTTACCTACTTCAGCCAATTTTTCACACTTCTAATACTGAGCACAACTTGCCGTGGGTATTTTCTGTTTTGACTTCTATCATTGGTTGCTTGAAACCCTGCTAACCCTTGCCTTATGCTGTTCTCTATCTTTCAGCTCAGAGCGGCGGAGATGTCTCTCCTTGTATCGGAGACCTACTCCTCAAGCTGCATTTGCAATTTCCTGGGGATATTGGGTGTTTTGCCATTTACTTCCTCAATGTTCTAACTTTACACCCTGGAGAGGCTATGTTCCTTGGGGCCAATGAACCCCACGCTTATTTGGAGGGAGGTGAGTGTGAGAAAACACTTGAACAAAAATGTTGGCTTATGAGGGTTTTTTTTTTTTTTTTTTTTGCCCAAGCAAAAACCATGTGAAGTCATAAAACATACAGTTTGTAGAATGTTTCCAATACAAATGTTTACATTTGGTTATCTGCTTCATCATTTTTTCTGATACTTGTAGATATCACAGTTAGGAGTTTAGAAAATGGGAAAGGGCATTAATCAATTAATTAAAGGAACACTCGAAGTACCATAACTACTTCAGTTGACTGTAGTTGTTATAGTGCCAGGAGTGCCCTGGCGCCATCTATAGGGTAAATAGTCAAAATGTTTGCAAACAATTTATATGCCCACTAAAGTCACCCAGTACACTTTATCTCAATAGCATTAGGAATACAGGCTTCAATTCCTAAGCTATAGATGTTCCTTAGTTTGATGTTGAGGTTCTCCTTGCTAAAAACAGTGCTCATTGCAATTTCTAAATTTCTATTTAACAAGGTACACCAGTAAGCTGGACCCGTACTTTAGTGAACAATCAAACTTTCACCCAAAAGTGGTCAGTGGGTGTGCTTGAACCACCTTGACTTGTGGTGAGTTAAACCCTGTTTGGATCACTAGAGGGCGCTTCTTCATAGAAGAGTGTAACTACCGTACATGTATTTATTTACATTGAGATTTCTCTTGTTTTCAAGTATGTCCTGGGCATATATTCTAATAATGATCACAGTACCATTAATATTTTACAAAATACGAACATACTTCGTATTTCCATGTAATGTACTTAGTAATTTCATGTAATGTACAGTTATATGCAGACTCTCCCTTTTACTTCCTAAAATATACAGCTAGTATCGACTTATTTAAGGCTCCTTTCTTCCTGCAAAACACACCAAGTGCTAACCCAAAAGTAAAAGTACATGGGAAACTTATCTACAAAAAACCATGACAAAATGTTGAAATATACCCATTATTACTTTTCAATTTTTGTTTGTAATATTCACAACACAAATTGCAAAAAAGGAATAAAAACTACGAAAAGCACAGCGTACACACTCTATACATTTTTAAATTACAACAGCAGCACATAAGAAGTGTCCAGGGCTCTACGGTGGCTGCTGACCTTTTCTTTGATTGTCCAGCAAATGATATAATGTATGGAGTAAAGAACTAGTCATTGCATAACATTGAGCAATAGCGTTTCTCCTATGTTCGTGAAGTACCGTATATACTCGAGTAGAAGATGAGTTTTTTCGGCACATTTTTTGTGCTGAAAAACCCCCACTCGTCTTATACTCGAGTCAGTTTCTGTATTATGGCAACTTACATTGCCATAATACAGACCAGGACCGCCCTGTTGGGGGCTGGCAGAGAGCTGTAACTTACCTTTCCTGCAACTCCTGTCAGCTCCCTCCTCCTGCATTCCGGGCAGCTTCCACTGTAAGTCTCGCGAGAGCCGCGGGGTCAGAGCATTGCCATGGGTTACCGTGGCAACGCTCGGCGCGGCACTCAAACCGCAAGACTTACAGTGGAGCTGACCGGCACGGAAGAGAAGGGAGCTGACAGGAGCTGCAGGAAAGGTAAGTTACAGCTTTCTGCCAGCACCCGTCCTGCATAGTACACACCACTGGACCACTAGAGAATGAGAGCCCCCCTCCCTGGCCATGTATCAAGCAGGGAGGGTGGACGAAAATAAATAAAGATTTTAAATAATATTAAAATAAAATAAAAAATATTAAATGCCCACCCCCCCACCAAGGCTCTGCATCACACACTGCATTCATACATACACACACACACTGCATTCATACACATACACACACACACACACACACACTGCATTCATACATACACACACTGCATTCATTCTATACACACTGTAAATAAATATAAAATTAATATAATTTTTTGGGGATCTAATTTTATTTAGAAATTTACCAGTACCTGCTGCATTTCCCACCCTAGTCTTATACTCGAGTCAATACGTTTTCCCAGTTTTTGGGGTTAAAATTAGGGGTCTCTACTTATATTCGGGTCGACTTATACTAGAGTATATACGGTAATTTACCCTAACGTGCTGTCAATATCAGGATTCACTGAAAACCCTTTCCCTAAGCATCGAGATCTAATGGTCAGTATGTACAGAGTAGACGACACAACCAAGAGCACGGACTGTCTGAAAAGGTATTTTGTGATACCATATCCTGTATGGATAACAAGGAATTAAAGATTTAATAGGACTAAATACTACTTTCTCTGTCCTAATACTTCCAATCGTATCCATCCAGGGGCAGACATTGGAGTTCATAGGTTGTGATCACTGTTGACCAAACACAGCAGCACCACATTTAACCACTTAAGGATCAACGAGAAAATAATTAAAACAAGCTGCCTTTAAAGAGACTTTATCAAATTAAATGTCCTGCGCAGCAATGGCAACTGCAAATTAAGCATGGCATTCTGTTTATCTCCCAGGGTCATGAAGGACCAGGTTATAATGATGGCACTTAATATCTTTGTTCTTGGTTAATTTTTTTTAGTGGTAATTTCTTTAATATAATGGGTCTTGTTTCTCATGCAGATTTAAAAGTTGCTCTTTTATCTTTTTTGTTTTAATATTTTCTATTCATCTTTGTTTTTTCCTATTGCATTAAATCTATAGATTGTGTGGAGTGCATGGCTTGTTCTGATAACACCGTTCGTGCCGGTCTCACTCCAAAATTTATAGACGTCCAGACTCTGTGTGAGATGCTGACCTACACAGCGGCTCCAGCCAGCTCCAAACTCTTTCAGCCAACACCAATCAGAGAGGACCCCTATGCCATGGTCTATAACCCACCTGTGCCAGACTTCACAGTCATTAAAATAGAGGTGAGAATCCACACTGGACACCACTAAAATAATGACTAGTAATATGGGAAGCAATCTCTGCAACTAAACGTACAAATGCACACAGTGCTGGGTATTTTGACTATTTCCCAGAATCCCCTATAACTGTGTGTAAATGAGCATGCACTGTATATGACTTTTACATTTATCTGATACTGCTTTACTTAAAATTGTATTTAACCCTTATTTTCATGAGCAAATGATTTATCCTCACTATATAGGTTATGAATGTGCATATGTGGAAGTGTACCCTGCTGTCTTCTCACAGCACCAGCATAAAGGGGAAAGGTTATCCTGGTGTTACATCCAATAATGCAGTAGCATGCTGCAATCACTGACACAATGGCTCTCTGCAAGCTCAACACAGAAGCCAACTGATATTGATACTTTTGCTTTCATACTACTCCACACCCCCAACTCCTGGTTTAGCTAATAAGATTTCATGAATATAAATTGAGACCCTCTCCCCCACATACAGCCAAACCTTCATCCCACTCTTACGTGCACACAATGAGAGATTCTCTCTCCCTAACCTAGCAGGAATAAGCACAGGTGCAGAGTAACTCTGCTTCACTTCATCGGTTTTAAAGTATTCCCTGCTGAATTCCAGCACGTTGTTCCATTCTTTATCAATGACTGGATTGTGCGTGCATTGTTCTGTATTGGAAAATGGTGCATACCTGGAAATCGCATATCTCTCCTGCTGTCGGAATGGTATTCAAGGGTAGAAGATACAGTAACTGTAGAAGAGCATGTACATTCAGCCACCTGATTTTAGTGTTCACTTTACCTACCTCATCGCCTTAATGGATATTTATATTGTTTCACCATCATTTACTTTCCTAGATTTTTCTACTTTCTTGCCCATTTGTCATGTACTTTGGAAGATATAATTCTTGAAGTATCACTTCCAATAATATTTGTCCTTTACTGTATCTTCCCACCTCTATTGTAAAATTTAGGATCACAATTTTGTAAAAAGTTTCAATTCTATTAATAGCTCTTATCTCTTTCTTTGCAGGTGCCCCCATCCGTGTCCCAGTACAAAGTGGCGGGCTTAGAGTCTGCCAGCATTTTGCTTCTGGTCAAAGGCCAAGCCACCATCAGTGGGTCACAGGAAGGGCTTAGTCTTCACCCAGGCTCTGTTCTCTTCATCTCTGCTAACGAGTGCTTAGTCCTCAATGTTGGTTCCACAGAACCCCTCCTGATGTTTAGGGCCTGCTGTCTCCTTTGATGTAGCAAAGCCCAAGCATACCTTTAAAACCTAGTTTTAGAAACCCTTTACGCCTTACGCAGTGCATTTTGACTGTGTCTCCCTGAATATCAAATAAGATTTGTATCAGAGTAGAAAGATCCCCTGCTTGGTGTTGGTTTAAGAGATTTTAAAGTAGAAGTTACCCCATCTACCTGAGTAAGGTAATGCTAAATAAATCATTAACTTTTCATGGCTTGCTTATATAACGAAGGGATCCTTCTGCATTGAAGACATCCTATATAAGAGCCTTAGAATAGCAGCTTAGATGGCCTATGTTTGAATGGAATTCAAAGCAGGTTCAATTGTTTTGCAAGCATGTTACCTGCTAAAACCAGTAGCATGGAAAAGAGTTAATCATCATATTTCCTAAAAGAAGACCTCCCGCCCCCTGAGTATACAGCGTAATGCAGCTTTTAACAACTTATTTTAATAGATGCTACTCACACTCCATAAGATTATGCTGCAAATGTCCTACTTAGCTCAGGTTTGTACAATGATCTGTGTGTGCTGGAGAATGTGTTTGCCTGTTTTTACAGATGTACAAAGCACAGGGGCAGTATTGTCACAAGAGGATATTAAAACATTGCCAGGACAGGATTGATGTAGAATGTGCCTTTAGCTGCTGGTTAATTTTGGTGCTCCTTTATTTCTAGTTAGTGGTTTCAATGATCACCTAGCAATAGGACTAACTATTTAATGGTGCTGTAAAATGCAGAACTGCTCGAAGTGTAACTAAGCCAACCTATCTATAGGCAGACTTAAAAATGCCTGAAGCATACACTGTAGTGTGACATGGTGGTAGCTTGTTCCACCCCTATCCAGTGTGGTTTATTGCATGAGACGATTTTAATTTCTGCTCAACCATCAGAGAAGCTTTGAATCATACACTGGTTTTCATTAGGAATAGTCTGGATTAGAAAAATTCCCTTGAGATTACTGAATTTAAATGTACAATTATCAGAGTTAGGAAAGGCAAAACTTACTGACGATTGGTTATATCAACTGAATGAGCACATCTAATGTAGTACCAGCTGCTGTCTGCTTTAAAATCCATAATCCCACTGAAAATACATTATTTGTAACAATGAATTCCATCTGAATCTATCAGTTTAGAAGCAATTTTGCTAAATTAATTCACTTGCCTGCGTGCAAATAGTTTAAAATTATTTTTAAATGATTTTAACAAAAATACACATAAAAGCAATAACCTAAATCAATGTTTTAACTATTGTGTTATAGAGTAGCTCCAATTGTGTCAAACCTTTCTCCCATGGAGTTGGCTATCAAAATGGCGCTAATGACAGCTGCTGGTCCAGTCTAATTATTACTGTGTTTGAGCAGTCAGTAGCATGTTTTCAGCACTGGATGCTGGTTTCAGCCATTCACTTGCCTCTGGGGCTAGCCTGGAATCTGGTCTGTGGCCTCTAATTTGGAGGCTGCATTACACAAATATGGTAATTCTTGGCCAATATTGCAGTCCAGATGAACAGTTTATTTTTAGTAATCAAGAGTGTGAGAATTTGGTCTTTAGTGAATAACCTGGATCATATTTCTGCCTGAAAGCTCCTAGGATATTAACTCTAATAAGCACATCAAATTGAATAGTTTATGAATGAGAATAAAACTATGAATATAATATTGTACAGCTCTGTGGAATAAGTTCTCTATAAATGCCAAAATTAATAATCATAGCAACAGTATTTATTTAAAGACCGTATGCCAGCCAACCAAATCATTAACAGGACTCCATAAATATCTGATGCAAGCCTTTTACTGCTCAGTGTGTGCCCAGAACTGAAGCAATCGCCCAAACTGGGCAGATTTTCATTAGCATAAGACCGTCCAGATTTGAGATCGCTGTCACACATCCAGGTTATTCCACATCTGTGACACCAGGAAAAAAAATCACCCAAATAGTATTATAAGGGTCACTGGAGCCAGCAGGTCTGTAAACCTTGCATTAACCAATACAGGCTAAACAGCTCATTTTCAAATATAGATCTCATTATTCTTGTGGCATTAATGCTACATCTCTTGTTAAAGGCATTTTGGGAAAGATGCCATGCATGCATTGAATGAATGTAAAAGTGTGTTTTCACACAACTAGCAGCAAATTATTTAATATTGAAATGGTTATAGCCTTGACGGTACATTGCAGTACACAGAGCATACTGTGCTACGGGTGCTGCATCAAAGTTGCCCTTCTTCCGGAGGCGGAATAATGAATTGCTGTGACATGTCTCAATAAATCTTTGAACTGAGATCTTGTGTGGTTTCTTTTAACTCTCCTTTTACAAATGTAATAGTTTTTGCCACTATCCCTATAATAACCAGATCTATATACCAGGAAAATAAAGTGTAGTTATTTCTAAAGACTAGAGACACCCACCTTGGTTTAGCATGAGAAGCTGGCGGCATGAGAGGGGATTGCCCCAAGCCCTCTTCAAGGAACACTGTAGGCACTAAAAAAAAAAAGTTAATCTTAATGAAGTTGTTATAGTGTCCTAAATATATACCAATTCCATATGACAGCCATTCAAAGGTGGGAAAGCTTCAGTTACAAAATCCAGATGATGGCAGTGATATCCTAAGTCAGGGCAGACAGACATTTCCAGCAAGCTATAATGGTTATGGTACACTGTGTTCCCTTTATGTATTCCTAGTAAAGGTAGTGTGGCATATACAACACATATTACTGGGAGAAAGAAATGAAAACACTTTGTGAATCTAAATATTGATGCTGTTGGACTATAATATCCTCTATGTACAGATTGTGCCAACAAAGATACTAGCTGTTGATTCTGTAAGGAATAATCCGTAAACCTGGCAGAAACAATTCATCTACACAGACAAAGTGGAAGGAAAACAATAGTCAAAACACAGTAGATTATTGCTATTTATTTCTCAATAACCTCTCCAAAACCAGAGAGTAAGTATAGTACAAAATAGTGTTAAAGCAAAAATCATTGCATCTTTACAAGATTCACATCCAACTTCCATAAATTCACACATCATCATATAGGAAAACCACATTGACCACAGTCTTCCAGAGAGGAGATGGGGTATTAATAGGAATAACATCTTACAATGGCTCCTCTGGTACAAAGTACAAGACATTTAAACATCTGCTCGTTCCACACTAAAAGTAAGAATTGTCGAACATTCAAATGAGCAACAGAATTGTTGGGATTTCACAGTGAATGTCAAGTGAATTTCAGTTTAGTAATTAACTCTGTTGATGTCTCTGTGCAATGTCTTTACTTCCACGAAGACAGTCCCAGAACAATTCCTCCATGCCCACATAACCGCCAAAATGACAGAACCCCTACTGCGTGCCATACCCTTTCCCCTATGTCTCTCAAACATCGATATCTAATGTTCCTGTCAAAATTTGTAACAGGTTGTCCAATTTGTTGTTAAATCCCCCTTTATAACATCGTAAAGCACCGTGGAATAAATTGGCGCTATATAAATGCCAATTATAATACTACAGAGATGTATGTAAAGCTTCTGGCTAAATCTGCACCATGTAGATCAAACATCAGTCGATACCTGGAAGTTCATTAGTCTCATTCGTCACTCTAAACGCTTGAAAATCACCCTTGCCTGTTGTTCCCCAGAAGGCCTTTAACAGGGTTCACTGGGAGAACACATGGTAGGTGTTGCAGAAATATTTAATTCCCTGTAACTTCATTAATGCCGTCAGTGTTTTACTCCTCTGGCTTTACCTAATGCACATTTTAGAAAATGTGAGAATTCCCTTTTTTTGGGGATGGGGATTTATTGCACAACCACAATGAGCCGATACAGAAAGTCATATTAAGGTGGCACTTGGTCCCCACCTGTTTTGTACGTATTTGTTTCTCAAAATCCTACATCTACACATGGTGGTCCAGTCCCTTATTACCAAACTGGTGGGAAGCTTTGAAAGTAGCTAACCACGTAACTTCATTAGCGATCTCTGCTTAACCAGATTTTACATATCGATCCAATGGGCACTCCTTGTAGCAAATAAACAATATCATCACATACGGTTAGAGTTCAATAAACGTCTTGCCTTGAATTCTCGGTCCATTCCTTCTATGGCATCTGTAACGTCGACAATAGATGCAAATAATGGTTGGGAGACGTCCCATAGCCGTGACACTACCTACTCATTGCTCAGGAAAAAAACCAATGCCCTTACTTGCTATTCTTTCGCTTTACCTTTTGCTAAAATATGCATTCCCTATATCAATTCACATTTCCCAGGGGATTATTTAATTGAACTGAAAACCAAATTGCTGAATTTAAGCTAAAATTGTGGAATTGCGAAGAATTTTTTATAGATTTTTTTTAAATAACACACCTCCAACTCCACTCCAGTCACAGCCGGTTGGTGATCAATTCACGATTCTGGATTTAGTAAATTAACTCGCCAAGAAAGTCTGGTTAGAATAATGATATGGTAAAGAAAGTTACAATGTAATCGACTCTGGGCCTTTTACGCTCACCTGTAACTGGGTGAAAGTATGACTGGCACTCTATGAAAAGGTGTGTTTGCATAGGTCTACACAATCATTAAACAATCAGGTTTTGCAGGTATTTGCTTTGACATTGCTATCCCAACTGCAGGTTATGTACAAACATGGGAAGAGGTTTGTCATCTGAAAAGAATGATGTTAAAAGGGAAAGTCTCAGAAACAAAATCTCTTCATTTTCCTGCAGTGCCCATGCCTACCAGTGGATGTCAGACAGAAATAGATTTCATTATTAAACATATTGGATATCCAGTGTCAGCCTGTAAAGTAAGCGGATGCCAGACACTGTGTGCGCCCAATGCTTCTCATTGGATCAGTAGATTAAGGCTTCAAATGTCGATGTTTCAGTACTTCTCTGAAAAGCCATCACTGGGAGTATCAGGTTGTAGTGATGAGTCTGTCCCATTGCTGGTAGGTAGGTTTAAAGGTTAATGTTAAATTAAACATAGGGACATGCATCTTAAACCAGACAGCTGAGCCTTATTTCAATATTTCTCCCCCCCCCCCTTTGCATTTTTTGGTGTCAGTCACACTGTGCCCTCAGGGTAATGAAGCATTGTTATGTCACTAAGGTGTTTGAAAACATGATCTGCCAGTTTGAAAGTTCAGAGTTGCCTCTGCTCTAAAATTATACAAAAAAAAAAAAAAAAATGAAATCTAGATTTGCTTTTTTCCCTCTGCACCTTTCAAAATGAGAGTAAATCTAATTATACAATAGTAATACATTATACTGCTCTGCCATCAACGGAGCTAATGACCTGGGTTGTTTGTACAAACGAAACATACCGCCATAAAGTAATACAAGAGGCCCAACACGTTTGCAACGTTCTGGAAATTCTATGCCCATAATTCCTTGTCAGTTGGAATTCCATTAGAGACAAATATATAAATATCTCAAAATACAGGGGGTGTAGTTTCTCTTCAACAAAAAGGCACTTAATTTATTTTTTCCCATCTTAAATGTATTTAAATAAGGGTGAGATTGGTTACCATTAAAGGCTGGTAAGAGCTACCGCTTATTGTAGTAGTTATGGTGCTTTAAATGCTGTATAACATTTTGGGTGACACCCAAAATGTCACTTTAACCAGCGTAACTAATAATTAAAACTGCAGGTCAACATGGCTTTTAGCTCAGTGATTCAATACGCAATGTATTCAAGCATTTCCGAGAGAGACACGGTTTACCTGGTTTAACCTGTTTTTCTCAATGATGGTAAAACGTTTCCCACCTCTGATAGATTTCAAACACTATCAAAGCAGATTAGAGAATGCCACATTATGTTCCAAGCAAGTAACGTTCTCTAACATGCCTTGATGGTGTTTAGAACATATAACCCTTACCTCTACAGCCAATTACTCAAAGCAAGATAAAAACAAACATACATAAAGCAACCGGTGTCTCCTCGGGCAACTGGCTTTGAGAGAAAAAAAAAAAAAAAAAAACACAATAGAAAATCCTGCAATACCAGTACTATGTGTTCAGCATATTATTAATTAACACCCTGATCACTGATATTACACATCACAGGAACGTCTGTCAGGGCCATTCACTTGTCTATGGATTGTCTAGAAGTCAGAGTGAACTGGAAATTTTAGGCCCAAAATAGTGATCATTTAAAACAAACCTGCATGTTGTGCTGTTGTGGTCGAGTTCTCCAATTATTTATAATAATTCCCTTAACTGCCCCATTATCTAAAACTGTGCTTATTAAAAGAATGCTTCTACTGACAGCCTAACTAAAAAGACACTTCCCGCACCTTGATCACCTTCAGTTTTAGCAGGCTGTGGGGTTATCACAACCAGCATGACGACAACAAAGGCAGCTAAACCTTCTCATACAGAAGTATTAGGGTAATGCTTCTACATGAGATGGCTGTAGGATAGCACAGAGTTTGCCACGCATGTGCCTTAGGGTCATAATGCTTCTACATGGAGAAGCAGTTAACTGCCCTGAGATCATGTGTAAGGAGGATCTCAGAACAGCAGGAGAAGCATCTGCAATTCCTCTGGATGAAAGGCAAACCTAAAACATTCCTTTTTTGTTTCACGGGGGGCGGTGGGATAATATAATGTCGTAATCAGTAACATTACAATAAATATAATTATTTATAACAGATTTTCCCGTTAACCTCATGGCTCTCCTGTAACACACCCTCTCATCTGAGCCCTGAACAGATCGTGGAAAAGAGCAAAGATTTACAAAGAGAAATATACACAGCACACAGAGAGGAGGGGAGCCCATCTCACTTGCTAGGCTTCCCCTCAAAGATCTTTGACATAAAGGCTTAGCACAGTCTTAACAGTGATGTAATGACATTTGTGTCTGTTTTGCAAAATCAAGAAAATTTGGTTTATATATATATAAAAAAAAAAAAAAAAAGTGGTTTTGGAGGAATGGCTCTGCCCAAACACGAAGACCAAAGCAATCAATCACTGGCAGTTAGTTTGTAACAGTATCCCCCCCCCTTTAATATGTTACTACAGACAACCCGTACTGATATTTATTGGCAGATGAATCTTTAACGAAGGGATATGTGTTAGTAATCTACATCTCTCAGCTCGCACTGATTTTAAACAGGCATGTAGTAGACTGGTATACACAATTTATATTAATATTTTAGGGTCACTTTAAGACACCCAATAGAAAAAAAAGCAATATATTATAATTTATACATGTGCATTCAAATATTTGGTTTGATATTGTTGCACAGATTCAGTGCTGTTACCTTCAAGCAGGAGGTGAAGAAAAAAAAAATATATATATACACACACATATATCACTTGAACATGCGCACTTTTGTCATGGTGCTAGTAACCACAGGACACAACGTACAGACCTCAGTGCACTTCACCTGAAACTAACATTAAAGCTCACAAACTTTTTTTTTTTTTCAAAAACACCTAGTTTAGGCAAAAATAATGGGGGTTTAGTTACAGTATATGATCATACATTGCATAAGCCTGCCAACATCAATGTACCCCATTTATGGGAGATATACATCACACACTCTAAACCTTTCTAAAATAGGTATAAAAAAATAAATAAGACCTTTCTTGTTTTAAAAGATGTGATTACTAATAAATTTTCTGTGTTTTATAATATTGATTCAATACATGAATATGGGTTGTTTGAAGAGCTCTGCCAGTCAGTGCAATTTGATTGATTGAATGCTCTTTATAGCATAGTTTGTGTTCTTTATACTATTAACTACCTCTATAAACAGCAAGGCTCCCTCTTTTCAACAGGAAAGATTGATTTCCAATTTGAATGTAACACGAGTGTCTTGTTCGTTCACAGGCCTCACAGTGTAACTTGATTTTAATCTTTCTCTGCAATCAGTAACATGTAGGGAGTCTGCCATTCAGACAACCATAAATCTAGATGTATCTAGAGGTAGAACAAAGCTAGATGACAGCCCATGGATCCAGAACACCAAAAGCTATCCTAGATACTGAGCTAGCAAAAGAGTGCGAGTCATACGTTAGGCAAAGCAGATCCAAATTCAGCTTAACGTTACAACTAAACATCACGATGTGTGTCCTCTCTTTGGGCGTCAAAAGATAAGATTTGGACACACGTGACAAATATAGACAAATCTATAATCTGTTTTCTCTCTTCTCTCCAATTATAAGCATCTGTTCCCTTTGTCAGTATGAGAGATAAATCCCACCAAGAGACTGCAGGTAGAAGATTTTACGCATGCCCAACACGTAGGCAAAAAATGGAAACACTTCACCAAAGGTTTATCTACTGCACGTGTAACACAGACAAGTTCTTGGTGAATGGTCTGTATGTAACAAGAGAGGAGCGCAGCCATCTACCAGGCATGGTAAGCAAGGACTACCTCCGCACTGCTCTCCACAATGACCTTCAGATATAAAAGAGGTGATGCTAGAGGGTTCTTTCTGAACTAGGGGGAAGGGGAACTTCCTCTCACGAGTATTCACTGGATGCTGCAGGACCAGGACTCCCCTAGGCAACAGGGACAGGACACGGAACGCACAGGTTTTGGTGGGATCAAATCCAGGTCCTCATCATCTGGAATCTCATCCAAGTGATATCCGTCCTGAAGGAGCTGCCGATTCAGGTCTTGGGAAACTTGCTGTGGACACAAAGAATAGAGTTAAAGATCCAACTAAGCATGACGTGTTACCAAACAGTTCTATTAACTCCAAGGTAGCTTTACATTGAAAGGTAAGAAATAGCCTTTTAACAGTGGTGACTAATTAATAATGTAAATTAATATATATTTTTTTCTGAAATAGATGGATATGTATTCAGCTATTTGGGTATTGTGACCGTTAGGATCCAACTCTATGGTGACACGTTATTAATATAAACATATTTGATATAGATCCACATGGGGGTAATAAGGATAAGTTTCACTCATATGACTGGATAGAGAGTTATTAAGACAAAGACTATTATTAAGACAAAGCTATAAAGAGCTCAATTAATATATTGGAACACTATTTCTATTTTTTTGCACAATTTATAAAGAGATAAGATTGCTCCCCATGAAAATATATTTATTAATAGTTTAATCCACAAACAAACAGATATTTGATAGATACATCTTGTATTTGATAAAATATTCACAACATAGATATATAAAACTCTATATGAGATTTTATCTCTGTTAAAATGGTTGTTAAAATATAAACTATGCTACTTGTAGGGAATAATAGGTCTACTGCACTTTACTAATATTTATAGGCAACACACTATTATTATGGTACAAGACTCTACTAACTAACGGTCAACTTAGTGTCATTCGATGAAAATACTAGTTTAAAGAGCTTGATTATATATAAAACCACACTCTTACTCCTTAGAAAAAATTAATCCTTTATAATAGAGTATGGGATTAATAATAAATAATGTAATATATATATTTTTTTTCCTTATGGTGAGATGCCATTTTCATGCCCCGCTATATGTAGTTACACTAAAAAAATTTCGGAGAGCACTATGTGCTCTAACGGATACATTGGAATTTGTTTCCGACGGTATGTTGTTTTTTCTGGGTGTGCTAAACCCTTTGTGGTCTGGCCACTCCGAACTGTATATTTGATATGTTGTATGTGTGTTTTTCAGAGTGAGATAGGTGGGCAGTCAAATTTTGAATTGTATATATGTTAACCCCTTAAGGACACATGATGGAAATATTCCATCATGATTCCCTTTTATTTCTGAAGTTGTGCCCTTAAGGGGTTAAAGTGTATATGTTCTAATGTCCAGGGGTTAAATATGACCAATAAGAGAAATAGGCTGTATCATTCCTTAATCCAAGAGAAAATTCAGGCTGCATTTATTCAAGCATCTCACTGGCTTAGAGATTCTCAACAAAAGTGGGGAGGGGCTCAATGTCCAATCATTTTTCAAGCCTTTTTAGTAGATAGAAAAAAAAAAAAAAAAGAGAGGTGTTGCTATTATATTTTGAAATGATCTTAAATTGGACATTGTTTATTGTGAACGGGATAAGGAGGTTAGATATATTATTTTGGTTTGTAGTATTGATAATAAGATTTATACTTTGGTCAATTTATATCTACCTAATGTAGACCCAATGACTACTTTTTCCAAGATAATGTCCAGGGTTGCTAAAATTTCCAAGGGAATACTGATCATTGCAGGAGATTTTAATTACATTTCAGGAGGGAAGAGAGCATTGGAGTGTGGGAGAGGGCCTGTGATGATGGTCCCACCATGCCTTGTTTCAATTTGCATTAAAGCTATTTCAATTCACTACATCTATTTTTTAAATTTGTATAGAAACACAGAATGTGACGGCAGATAAGAACCATTCGGCCCATCTAGTCTGGTTGTCTATAGTGTCCCCCTTTTTAATTCTATAGATGATGCATACAACTGTAATTTATTTAGACGTTCTTGTGATCTTTTGGACCATTTGGCTACCAGCTAAGAATGTATATTCTATATATGAAGAGTACGGTATTACAATTTGTAGCATTCATATGCTGCAAGAAAGAGAATAATTGTTTCATCAAAGAGGGATCCCAAAAGAGTCATTTTGACAGTCATCCTGCAACATCATATCAAATTCCTACAGAGCAGCACTTTTTATGTGTTGCCCACCAGCATTAAGAAGCATTTGTTTAAAGGATTAAAAGTGGCAAATCTAGTAAGGCTACGTCATCAGTGGTCTTTTCCAATATTGTGTTTTTGTGTGTTTAATGACATGGGGACATAGAAAAAAGTAAGAGGCGGAAGACACTCAATGATTAGATTTGTTAAATCTATCTATTGGTGAAACATCAATGATTAATAATCAAAGGTCACATATTGAAAGATGGACCCAATTTTTTTATGTAATAAATAGAAGATGGGACCTTCCAAAGATGTTTACTGAATCTGGCTGCAGAATAGAGTAAGGAGATAATATCTGGCTTTTTGCCCACCATATCAGGAACCATAGGTTTGAAATGCCTTGGAAAGAAATTAGATAAATATTTTGACGTTTTTCGAGGTCAGGTCATTTAGATTTTTATAACATAGTAAGTTATTCCATTTATTCTTATTTCTCCTCCTTTTTTCTGCATTCTCCTTCGCCTGACCTCAGCATGTTTACTGAATACTTTACCAAGATCCTAGCATTTAAACATTACCTGGAACCTACACAGCACACACAATGTAATCTCAATATATTGTATGTTAAAGGGGGAAGCATAGTCATAGAGTGATATCAGCATAGAGGATCAAAAAGGTGCAGGTACAAGAAGCCTCTGGTTTTATTTAAGTATAGCCGTTTTTAAAATTAGTAAGCATAATAACTTTAAATCGTTGGTTCCTCCATGACTTCAAAATGGCAATCAGTATTTTCAGATTTTTTTTCAAATTATCACAAATCCCAATCAACAAAATTAAAAAAACAAAACATTAATTTACATTATATTAAGGAAATGACCAGAATAAACGTAGTTTAGTTAATTAGGTATAATTTCCCTCAGCCAAACATTTTGGGTTGGTTTTGTTTGACACTTTAATTAAACTGAACTTAATGGATTTGAACTATATATTTATTTTGTACTCCTTACCTCTGCAGAGGAATAGCCAGAAGAACATCTAGACTCCAGCTCTGCATCACTGAAAGAATGAGAGGGGATACAGGAAATGAGAGGGGAACAGAAATGGTATGACAGTCCTAAAGTTATCCCTAAAACAAATGACCCCCAATTCCAACTGCATTCCTTAGCTCTTCCCTTGATCACTGCACTCCAAGCTTCCATTAACAGGCAATGACATGTCATCTACTCCCTTTGATTTGACCTATTAAACGGCTTATATGTAATCTACTGTTAGGAGGAGACTACTTCCCCAGCATTATTTACCATTCTAGCCCTTCTTATATCTCTTGACAGATCCATAGGTATGCCCCTTCTCGGTCTCTCCCCTCTGCCTGTGACCTTCTCCTATCGGCTGCTCGCACCCGTACGGCCAACTCGTGCTTGCAGGACTTCTCGCAGGTGGCTCCCTTCCTATGGAATAGCCTGCCTACCGCCATCAGACTCTCCCATAGTCTTCAATCCTTTGCAAAGTGCCCTAAAACCCATCTCTTTAGGAAAGCTTATGGCTTCCCAGAGTAACCTCTACCTCACATACCTGGCTCTTGCTCTCTCCTATAGGGCAGCAATTTACTCTCTTCTCCAGCCCTGCTTCACTCTCACCTTATTTGATTGCTATTTCCTGTCCTGATGTGTTTTACACCCCACCTCCTATAGACTGTAAGCTCGTTTGAGCAGGGTCGTCCTCTTCAACCTATCGTTCCTGTAAGTTTTCTTGTAATTGTCCTATTTATAGTTAAATCCCCTCTCTTATATATCTGCAGTGCCATTATAGACAAATAGTGAAAACTTTTTATACTGAAAATTCTTACACTGGTTTGGCGGCACATAACATATTTAGCAGAAAACAGCCTCACCTGTCCGAGTCCAGAGAAACTAGAGTTTCGTCAGAAGCCTGACTGAGAGCCGCGTAGCCTTTATTGAACTTTACAGACCTGTAAACAGGAGAGAAGACATTGTAACTGTGTAACTAAACCGTCTGATACTTCTTTCTGCTCCATCAGCTAAACATACTTTTTGGAAACTGTTTTTCCTTTCCCAGGTACTACCAACATGCCCTTCTTCTTTAATGTAGCCCGGGCCAAATCTCTCTGTCTTTCTGGAGAAAAAAAAAAAAAGAAGAAACATTTTTTTAAATGAATGCTGAGAATATTCACATTGCCAGTGGTGGAACAAGTGTCATGCAAAGTACTAAAAATACATTCATTAAAAGCAGGTTTATAAAAAATATTCTTTTTAATTATTCTTTTAACTTCATCTAATTTGAAAGAGTGCACTATAAATGACTAGACTGACCGAGCAGAGAAAGAGAATAAACAAACTAATGCCCTGTGCTTAATCTCCCACTACTCCTGGTCAGCAGCAATCAGTCCAAATACATAGAACAGAAACCAGAAAGAAAGAGTTACCTGTGCTCTATCCCAAAGCGCGTTTAAATAACTAGAGGTTTTTTTTAGTATCATTTCAAAAGCACATTTAGGTGTAAGCTCACCTGCCACGCAAAGCAAAACCTCTTAGGGGAGTCCTACACTAACAATTCACTTTGCCGTCTTCAGCTAAAACTCTTGAATATGACATAAAGGGTATTTTTATGAACCCCTACACACTTATAAACCATTAATGGGGTGGGTGGCAACACGGTAACATGGATGTGGAATATGAAAGCTATTACAAACATACAAAAATTATAAAACTAAAAAAAACAACAAAAAAAACAAAAACTTGCTCATAACCGTTTCCCAATTTTATTGCCTGCTACGCGGTCCAAAAAATGCTTTAACTCTGTTAGGATGGCATAGCACGCACTGACAATTGGTTCCTACCTGCAGAGTGGATACTCACCTTCCATGGCTGGGGACTGCGTGGAAACAGACTGTCCAGCTACAGCTAACCCCACCCATCCGATCTTAGTCGCAATGACACGGATCACACGATTGGCCAGATTACAACATTTCAGGCAGGGAGGCTGCCTGGACTGTCAGGAAGATACAATTAATAAAAACCCAATTATGGAAAAATAATGTATAAAAATATGACATATGAGAATAAATATCTCATATTTTATTCTACGTGCATATTTATGATTTTATATATTGGGGGGACCTGTCTGACAACCCAGGCAGAAAGTCCAGAGAAATTAATGGACAAGCCCTATATTTGACCGTGTAACTTTCCAAAGCCCTTTAAAACATGTAAACAGGGGGTAGGGTGTGAGTTATGCTGAACACATATATGTGTATTTTATCACAAAGCTTCATAATTTCTCAAACTTTTGTGGATTTTATTTATATTAAGTTATGTTTTGCATATAAATAGTTTATGTGAAATGAAAGCCCAATTTCTTATGAATAAAATGTTATATAATAAGTGTGTGTGCACTTAAAAGGACCCTCTAGTGCCAGGAAAACAACGCAGTTTTCCTGGCACTATAGGGTTATTAGGCCCCCCCACTCCTCGCGACCCCCTTCTGCACAGCTGAAGTGGTTAAAACCCCTTCAGCCACTTACCTGAATCCAGCGCCGATGTCGCTGGAACTGCAATGTTTTGCAAAAGGGTCACCGCACCCAGACCACTTCAATGAGTTGAAGTGGTCTAGGTGCCTACAGTGTCCCTTTAATATGAAAGAGGAAAATTATGGTTGAACAAACATATAGCTCAAATTAAGGTTTTGTTTTTGGTCAGAACATGTACAATTGCCTCTGTCCTTAAGATGTTAAAAAAAAAAAATTATTATAATTTATCCTAATTTAGTAGAAAACCTTTAATTTAGAAAGTCCATGTCTCCTATCCAACATTCATACAATTGAACAATAACCTATAAATTACTGAATCAAGGCCATCCCCCACAATGACCGTTCTTTTGAAGCATTTCCAGTGTTTAACCAGTGTTTATTATCTGCTGATAAAATGAAATCTTTGTGAAAATGACAAAATCAATCTGTAATGAGTAACCTATTCAGAACGGAGACTTGCCAATGTACTTTCACTCTGTATTCCCAAGACTTTACTGTCCCTAACAGAAATACAGCCCCACCTGTTTGTCATACAGATTAATAAAATAAAGCTGGTTAGCTGTTACTTTAACCGTTCCAGTGCAGAGTCTCCCACTCCGCCTATGTGTATGAGTATGACAGCCACTAGAGGAGGAGTTAGTCCTGCAAGGGAATTATTGCAGTTTATCACTAACTGCAATAATTACAATTGCAGGATTAAAAAGGGACTGTGGAACTGCACTAAGACCACTTCGAATGAGCTGAAGTGGATCTAGGTGCCTATAGTATCGCTTTAACCCTGCAGTATAAATATATATATCTATCCACAGACACAGCCAATACCCTGCAGCCTGTCGAGTTTGACACTTAGACTCTGCCCTAAATCTTAGAAAGTCAGACAGACGAGAAATACAGAGACAAAGTAGTCCCTATTTTGTCTGGCCTTCTCTCTTGACTGGGTTGGAATTTAAGTGAAATTCCAACACACTCGAAATGAGTATTTCATAAAGAAGACAGTGTTGCTTTAATTGAGATTAAGTGACCTGGTGGACTTAAGCGGTCCATTGACTACCACTGGGCCACTGGTTACAATGTTGCTTTAAAGTGACACTGTAGGCACCCAGACCTTGAAGTGGTTTGGGTGCAGTGTCCCATCACCCTTAACCGTGAGCATGTAATTATTGCACTTTTTTTAACTCCTCCTCTAGTGGCTGTCTACTAGACAGCCACTAGAGAGACTTCCTGGTGCTTAGGCAACTTTAGGTCACTTAAATGATGCTGAACGTCCTCACGCTATGCATTTCCTACAGAGAAATCCTAAATGCGCGTGCAACCATTGCGCAGCGCATTAGGTCTTGCCCGCCGGCTGATGTCAGTGGGGGAGGAGTGGAGGCGGAACAGAGCAAGCTCCGAGGGACATCGGCACTGGACCCAGGTAAGTGACAGACAGGGGTTATTAACCCCTTCTGCACCACGGGGGGGCCTTAAACAAGGGGGAAGCTATAGTGCCAAGAAAACGAGTTTCTTTTCCTAACACTATAGTTTCCCCTTTAATACAAATGCGGTTTATTTTGAATAGATAGCTGATGCTGTCAAAGGGTTAATTGCCATTCGGCCACTGAATTGAACATAAATTTACATGGGTTGTGATCTCTATTACACAAAATTGCAAATCACCTGGTTAAAAAAAATTATTATTACTGGGTTTTTTAATGTGTTAACATATTCTGGAGAGCGATACAGGGATACACTAAATACACAGGACACGGACTGAGCAAGTAAAACCAGCAGGGACCCGCTCCATCGAGAGCTTTTATTCAATTCATAGGAAGGGGCTACTTACCTCAGCAAGAAAAAACATTTTCTTAATTATCATTAAAATCCTTAATTCATGAAATTTCAAATAGAAATGGCAATATAAAAACTTAACTATTTGATTTATTGCCACCCCCCAATAATTTTCTAAGTTGGGTGGATTTGGGATAGATTATTCACGGCCTGTGTTGCTTGAAGGAAAGCAAAGCATTCGCCCTTTTGAATCTGCATAAGGGGAGCTACGTACTGTTTTACTAGTCAGTGGGGATATCAAAAATCGTTCCTGATTTGCTAGGCCAGTGTCCTTCAAGGCCCACAGGGAGCATAGAGTCTGCACTTGCAGGGTAGCAGACCATTCCGCACACACTCAGTCCATGGATTGCTACCAAATCATGGAGTCAAACAGGATTGTATGTGGAAACCCATCTAGCATCCAGATTTATCAAAAAAGCCGCAGGAAGCTGTTGCTCAGGGTCTGCCTAATCTCTTCCCACATCCACTAAACTTAGAAAATTCAGGAGAGGAAGGGGAGGACGGGAGGAAGAAGGAACCGAAGTTTACTCTTCTTTATTAAATGAACCTGTATAGCTGTTAGATTAACCAACTCGTGAGCAAAGTGGGACATTTTTCTCATATAGGGAAAGAAGGGTCGAAAATGCCAGTTAGATTCAAGCTTGCGTTTTCATATAATCTGCATTATTATTTGCATTTTAAATGTAAGATAAAAGGTAACCACACAGTTAGATGTAAAATAGCAGATGGTCTTACTAAACGGATTACTGACAGCCTCGATGATGGCAATCTGCTTTCAGGAACATCCGCCAATAGAATTTCTCCACGTTTAAAAAAAGCATTAGACGTTTATTACACCTGTAAGAGCTTTAAATGGCTCCTGTGTCTGTGTGCTTTATTGGAAATGTTAGGAAACTGCTACAAAGCGAACCATCAAACAGAGTTTACGTGAATATCAAACACTTTGAAATTATACAGATTTGTGAACAAGAAATAGTTCTAAATACGTTGTTTCTCTTTATCAATAAAAAGGAAAATAGGAAGGGCTGAAGATGATAATCTGTCATTAGTTTGGTAAGAATTCCTTCCTCGGACACTTCCTTCTCCCGCTGTCACTATGATCTGAATGAGAGTTTGGTTCTCGCTTTTTTGTTTTTTTATGGTTTTGCAGATAAGATTTGACATTAACTGGTCACAATCAATATTTAAAAAAAATGCATTATAAAGATAGAATGGCGCAGATAGCATATAAAAAGGAGATCCACATGTTCTTACCACGAGTTTCATATATACGAAAAGGCACTTCCTCAGGTACCAAGTAGAACATCAACAATTAATACTTTATCCAGCATGGGGAAACCCCCATATATTACTAAAACAAATCTCAAGGCCTCTTGCGTTTTTACAGACCATCTTGCTGCTTTCGTTTTTAGAAGGACACTTTATTCAAAAACATATTGTCCACGGTGGACAGTTATCAATTCCATGGCTGTATCCAGGTCATTTTACATTGCATGGAAATTCCCCAGCAGTATTGTCCCGATAATACTTATTTTGAGGCTCATTTATGAGAAGCAATTGTATCTGTATTTATAGGGGATTTTTGCAACTTTAATTGAACCAGTTGCTTAAAGGCACACTCTGGATTAAAACGACAAGCCTAATAAAGCAGTTTTGGTGTATAGATCATTTCCCTGCAGTTTCACTGCCATTTAGGAGTTAATTCACTTTATTTACACAACTCTAGTCACATCTCCCTGCATGTGACTGACTAAGGCTTCCTAAACACTTCCTGTAAAGAGTCATCTTATGTGTAAACTTACTTTATTGCACAATCTGTTTAATGCTTATCTCCTGCTCTGTTAATAGCCTTCTACACACAAATTGCTTCATTAAGCTAAAGCTGTTTCTTTGCCTATAGTATCCCTTTAAACAAAAGACACAACTGGACCTAAATGTTTATTTAACACAGTGACTAAGCACAGGCACCATCAAGGACTCCAAATATCACTAACCACTTTTAATACTCACGTAACTTGGCTTGTATTGATGGACCCTTGCCCATCAGATATGGACCTTTTTTCTCAATACTGGGGCCCTTCGACTCCATTGCCCATTCCTGTTAGACAGAAAAGGGGGGAATTAAGTTTATTTATTCTTCTTTGTGCAATTCATTCAGTTATTTAGAAATTAATAAAATTGGTACCCTTATGTGGGATTGCTAAATTTAAGGGCACCAGATTAGCGTGCTGTTTTTATTAGACAGCTCCCTTATTTCCTCAAAAATACCAAAATAAGCTCCCTTATTTTGTATCCTTAAATATGGCAATCCCACTCAAGAGTACCTCATTTGGTATCCTTAAAAATGAATATCCTACACCAGGCAGGGAACAAAATTAGAGAGCTATCTACTAAACAGCCAAAGGCAAATATTAAGAGGGGATATGAGCATTATACAAATAAATTCAGGGACAATACAAACCATTGTCTGGAAATCTATTCATAAACAGGACCACACATAGGACACAAGGTCACGCATTTAGACTGGAAGGAAGGAGATTTAGTCTAAGGCAAAGGATTTTATTTTTTTTTACAGTAAGAACAATGAGGATGTGGAATTCTCTGCCTGAAGATGTGGTTTTATCAGAGTCTGTACAGATTTTTAAACAATGACCGGATGAATACTTGTAAAAACATGTTCAGGGATATCATTTGTAACATGTGGGGTAACAGCTTCTTGATCCAAGGAGAGAGCAGACTGCCATTCTGGGGCCAAGAAGGAATATTTCAAATAGGGTTTTTTGCCTTCTTTTGGATCAACAGCAAGAAAGGCTGAACTTGACGGACGTGTGTCTCTTTTTAATCTATGTAACTATGTTAGTAGATAGCTCCCTAATTTGGTATCTTTATGTGGGATTAACATATTTAAGGATACAAAAATAGTGAGCTATCTACCAAGCACAACTTCCTGCCTAATTTGGTACCCTTAAATGTGGCACTCTCTCATAAGGGCACCAAATCAGGGACTTATTGAATTGTCTAAACCACTGAAATATTCACTGGCAAGCTCTGCATTTCATCTGAATCGAAATTTCAAACTATTGGCTGAATTGCATCCAAAACTGATCATCAAACAGTCCTACACACCGTGTACTAAATAGAACTGTAAGTAGCTTAAATATATAAAATATGCCACAAACCGCCACTAAACTTAAAAATTCAATAAAATAATAAGACAAGCATAAGACTAGTTGAAGAAATTGTAAGATAGTGTTCCAATTAAGGTGTCTTTAGAACACTGGAGTAACTGGACCATTTCTTCAACTGGTGTTTACTTGCTGGGCGAGTGCTGTCTCTGGGTCTGGTAAATCACCCTTTTGGCTCAAGTGATAGAGTGCAGTTCCTTTTTTTTGTTTTGTGTTGTCAAAGCATAAGTGACCAGGTAGATCACATTGTTCAGCATGCCTCAGGGAATCTCTTCAATGCTGACAAACCAGCTTAACTAACAACTCTTTAGGTAAAGGTCCACAGACATCACAATAAAGGGTGCAGGTTCAAAGATTTATTGTGGTAAAAAAAGACAAAAATAAAATGCAATGTTCTGGTCGTGAGGCCTTAATCATGTATAAACAAACACCTCTTGAGCTTTATCCAGAGAAACTGACTGAAAGTGCTGAATTTTAAATTTAAAGTCCAGACCAGCCGAACTAAGAGCCCAGCTGACAGAGCTGAGAACTTTTCCAGTTCAGCTAGTTTGACATGAAATTTTAAATTCACTTTGAATTCTCATTTATGTGAATAACCCTAAGAGTGGCACTAAAACCTCTGATTTTAATGAGGTCGTTATGGTGCACATATCATGGTTTCACTAACCCAATATAATAAATTAGTCCTTTCATTTCCTGAGGGAACCTTGATAAAGCTCTACTATAAAGATTACAAATCATATAATTTATATAATGACACTGTACAACATTTTCAAATTTGACTACTGTATATAATAGTTAATTTCTTCTATTGCAATCATCTGCTATCAAAGTGAGCAATTATGTAGAAAACCACTCTGCACAAATTATTTACAGACACATTCCCTTGAAAACATTCTGTAAAAAAAATAAACTCAATATTAATATTTCTAAATATATGTGTGTTATTGGCAGCACAATAAAAGCAATGTCCTAACATATGTAGCCATCTATGCTACTGGGGATTTGGGGAGAGAAGAGAATTAACCAGCTCAGTAACTTTGGGATTCCTGCCTGCTGGATAAACGCACTTCCTTCCTGCCCTGTATGTAGATCTGGAGAAGTCTGTATAAAGAATTAATCTGGGGCAAAGTTCTAAGAGTGGAGCAATCACCATGGAAACCAAATGGAATGTCACTGCTCCACTTTGAGAACTTCCCTCCCAGAATGAGTCTTTTTACTCAGGTTATGCCCACATTAAACACATGCTGGGTCTGGCCAGGAAAGCCATGGGTTGGAGAAAAGATAAGGAAGTGACTCATCTTCAACCAGAACATAAAAACAAACAAAATTATAATAACTAAACCCCAATGCAGCCACTGCCTGCCCTGCCCTGCCCATACTGCCAGACACCTGAACTCTGGCATGCCTTCTCATGCCAACCAGCAATGGCTGCCCCCTGTACCAGGTGTCAGCTGGGCATTGATTGGCCCCTCCTCCCCCCCAGTTACAATTTATAACTAAACCCCAATGCAGCCACTGCCTACCCTGCCCTGCCCATACTGCCAGACACCTGAACCCTGGCATGCCTTCTCATGCCATCCAGCAATGGCTGCCCCCTGTACCAGGTGTCAGCTGGGCATTGATTGGCCCCTCCTCCCCCCCTTAGATACAATTTAGGGTAAATGTATCAATAATGGGTAAGTTACTGGAAGCAGTTAGAGGGAGACATGAAATAATGACGGAGATCAACAAGTGTGCTACCTGTTTGGGGTCCCCAGCCCTGGCTCCCCGTCCTGGGTCACCACCAATCCCAGGCTCCATCTGGCTGTGTCAGGCCGACGGGTTAACCCACCCATTGATCAGACCGCACCGGGACAGCCAATGAGCGCCCGCGCTTCCCTTCACGTGACCAGTTACCCCGCCCGCGGAAGGTGAGTTGGGGAAGCCATCTTGGTAGAGGCAGGAGATGATACACTTAATTATCTAAGTGTGAAAGTCAGCGTAGCTAGTCTCGTTAAAGTCCGTGTAACAACTTATGGCATGTTGTAAAGTGATTGTAGGGGGAGAGCGGGGGGGGGGGATAAATAAATATGTTTCTCAAAACATTTTGTAGAGCTTGATTGAATGCTCTGTCACTTTGTTCAGGAAGCTCCTTATACTGCCAGGAGCCTGGAGGGAGCAGCAGGTTGGTTTGGGGAGTGAATGATAAAGTTACTCAAGTGTGAATTGCTGGGAATTCAAAGAGAATTAAAATATTTTTATTTATTTTTTAAATATTTTAGGACATGATGTAGAATAGGTAAAATTCCTATATAATTTAAAATCCCAACATTTTCTGTTATGCTATTTTAGCCTAAAATATAAAAATGTTGTTAAATTCAAGATATATTGCTCGAGTATTGGCATAAATGCCCTGAAACTGGTTAAACGTGAGACAATTTTTTTTTATCTCCGTCTTCCTGACAGCAAGTGACAAAGCAGGTCTGTTAGGTGATCAGAGACAGCGTGGAAATTGCTGGTCACATGGAGCGACTGTGTGACTTGACCGTTCTATGGAAGCTGACAACTTTATTGACAGGGGCTTATGAGACTATACATTTAATCTGAGTAAACAAGTGTGGAGGCTGTTATGACACCAAAAAGAGGATCAACTCGACAAAAAAACGGTGAAGGATCATCTGGGAAGGAACAAGGCAAGCACTACACAAGCTCCAACTTTTTGGGGTGCCAACCTTCCCGTGGAAAAAGGTTTGACCAGCCTGTTCAGCACGATTTAATAAGAATGTTTTACATTCTCATTACTTATACAAAATATTTAAAGGGTCACTCTAGCACCATGATTAAATAATATTGTAAAGCGCTACGGAATCTGTTGGCGCTATATAAATGGCGATGATATAATAATGATCACTTCACTGACTTGAATTGATCATGGTGCTCAGAGTATGTATGTATAGTGTTTTGCTATGGAACACTGCACATACGGCGGCTCTGGTGCTGGAGGTGTAATCCCACCTCCAGCTGTGTCTTTGGGGCATCTTTAGCCAGTCCAGAACAAGAGTGAATCAGGTGCAGATTTGGCATCAAACACTAGCATACCGGCATCAGACAGCCCACTCCGTCGACTGAAAGTGATGTCAGCGCTGTAGGATCAGACTAATGGAGGGGCAGCACAGCAAAGGGTTACGCTAACCAAAACCAATGTTTCACGAAAGCAATATTCTATTAGCTCTCTCTGTGGCATCATACCAACAGCTAGAGTGTACCAGAATTGCATTTTATCTTGCACTGAATATAGCTATTTAACAAAGCAAATCTTCATTACTTTCTGTTAGTCCAAAAAGAAGGTATTACAAGAAACGTCAATAGTTCTTTTTTTTTTTTTTACATCCAGTCCAGAACACTGCCAAAATTCAGTCAACACTATTTTAGTGAACTACTGCCACCTAGTGGGCACACAGCAGTAAGAGCTGTCATTTTGCCATGTACATGATGAAGTACAGAACAGTATATTAACAAATTAACATTTACAATAATTTCACAAAACAGATTGTATAGCTACTACAAAATAAACGCAAAGCAATACCTCTCGGTGATTTTATGATATAGATATGGACAGTACAGAGTGGGGAAACCCTTAGAGTTATTCACTATAGCGAGATTTGCTGGAAATTCAGAGTGGATTTCAAAATGTAGGCCAACATAGCCAAATTAGGAAGAAAAAAAATCTGTTCTGTTTTGGTTTTCAATTGGAAATTCAGTTTGAATTCCTGGCAGTTCTCATATTAGTCTGTAACTGTCCGTGGGCACAGGTCCTATTCAAGGTATCGCTAGGGATTTTGAGAGATGCCAAGTGTAAACCGACTTCCCAAAAATATAAAAATCCAGAAAGAGAGGAACATCACTATTCTGTTACCCCCACGATTTTCTCCAGAGCAGTATCTCTTTGGAACACAGATTCAAGAGACACTATAATCTCCAGAATAACTACAGCTTTTTGTATTTGTTCTAGTGAGTATAATCATTACCTTTAGGCTTTTTGCAGTAAAAAAAAAAGTTTTACCCCCAGAGGAAAATGTATTGTTAACATTACAACCTAGTGATAACTCCACTGGTCACTCCTCAGAAGGCTATTAGAGGTGCTTCCTGGGACAGTTCTGCGCAATGTGCAGCATTGCCATTCAGCGTCTCCACCCTCTGCATGCAGACACTGAACTTTCCTCATAGAGGTGCATTGATTCAATTCATCTCTAGGAGGAGATGCTGATTGGCCAGGAAAGTGTTAGGCTTGTGCTGGATCGTTCCCTGATCTGCCTCCCTGGCAGTCTCAGCCAATCCGATGCTTTCCTATGTGACAGCATTGTGATTGACTCACATCAACACTTCTGATGTCAGCCAAGCAGATAGATCAGGGGCAGAGCCAGCAGCAGCAGACTGAAATAAAAGTAGGATTTTGCTTGATTTTGAGGGGTAAAGGGTGGGGATCAGATGGTGTTTTTAACACAATAGGATCAGGAATATGTTTGTATTCCTGACCCTATAGTGTCCCTTTAGGTTTTGTTTTACCAATTCAACCACCATAACCACTACAGTGCTCTCATAGTACTTTTGCCAGGAGTGCTCCCTACCTGAGGTTCCCCTCCGTCCACCACAATTACCAGCCTTTAGGGGGAACAGGAAGCTCCTGCTTAGGATTCTCTATTTGCTCTCTAGCTAAGCACAGCTGATCACTGCACCATCAGGCTTAACTCATACAGAGCCTGCAGGAAACCATAACCACTACATAGTGATTGGAATGTTCCTTTACCTTATGTCCTTTCTTCAGTGTCTTGGTTTATTAGGTTACCCCTTCAGTCTCTACAGCAAGTCATTCGAGATATGGACGAGTAGTGAGCACAACTGACTTATCTTTGACTATTAATACATTGTAAAAATGTACTTCCTGGAAAAAAAGTTTTTATTTTTATTTTTATTTTAGCTAATTTTATGATATATGACATTATATAAATTCTGACAAATGGACATTGCTGTTTATATAGCATACATTTTATAAACCTTCTTTACAAGCTAATAAGGTTGAAGTCCACCTGTACTGCTCTTGGGCTCTCAAGTACTGTCATAAACCATTTCATTATGTTGAAAATTAACTTTCTTGCATCAGCAAATGCAGCGTGCTTTAGACCTCCCCATAGGAAAGCATTGAAACAATGCTTTCCCATGGGTTAACATCCAACACTGGATGCCCTCATGCAAAGCTTGATGACGTCCAGCGTCAGATACGAGAAAACAAAGGTCTGTTTCGATCCATGTAGCCCTCTAGTGGCTGTCTGGTACAGCAACTGTAGGCAGACAGTGCTGCAATGTAAACATTGCAGTTTCTCTGGAACCGCAATGCCTAACATTGTAGCGCCAAGTGCAAAAGGGACACTGCACCCAGACAACTTCAATGAGCTTAAGTGTTCGGGGTGCCTATAGTGTCCTTTTAAGGCTAATGTTATCAATAGAAATTGTGCCATAGGCTCCTCCAGGCTTGCAGTGTCTAGTAACTTGTAAGGATTGGCTAAAAGTGTGGGACGTTGAATATATATATATATATATATATATATATATATATATATATATATATATCTCACAATTTCATAAGGAATAAGACGTAGACAGTCAGCTTCCAGGGTAATCTGCTTATGTATTACTGTGGGGATAGATAGTGAGAGGTTATTTTGTTGACAAAATTTAGTGGAACATTAAGAGTCATTAATGCCATCATGACCTCAACCAGAAGAGGAGCTCAAAAGGTGAAACTGGCTGGGCCATTTTCTCCCAATAAAATGAACCATTATTCTCTCTAATATTTGTGCTAGATTTATGACAAGGCAAAAACAAAACACATTGACCTATTACAAATTGTACAACTGGAACTTTTTCTTTCTTTAACCCCTTAAGGACCAAACTTCTGGAATAAAAGGGAATCATGACATGTCACGTGTCCTTAAGGGGTTAAAGGTGCAGCCTAAGCACCAAATCATCTGCATGCCATTGCAGTGGTTATGGTGCTATTAGGGTATCATCCCCATAGTGAAACCATTTTTGAGAACTTTCTCCTGGAAGCACCCAGGTCACTGTCCCCTCTTGCTGCAAATGCCAATACAGTAGTCACTAATGCATTAATAGTGTTAGTTGCAGACATATTTGGATGGCATTGACTGGCTAAACACATCACCTGACATGCTCAGCCAATCAAATATGGATGATATTGCTATCAACGTGAAGGCAATTTTTTTGCAGCTGCAAATCTGGCGAGCAAGGTCAGGCTGCAGAAGCCTTTGAGTCCTCAGTTTTAGGGACACAGCGTTAAACAGGTTGGCCAAGAAGCTGGGGATAGTAGCCACAGCCTAAAAGCACCATAAAAAATACATATATATCCATACAAATATAATGAGAATCAAAATTTTAAAAAACGCACCAGCCACTCCCAATTTTGCAAAACAAACATCTTTGGTGCATACATACATTTAAAATGAATCTGTATTTATTGCCTATATTGGGGAAGTCAACCTTTGGTATGCCAAATTTACTCCAGAATATCTGACGTGCATAAGGCTGCCTACCCCTGACCTATATCAAAAAACATATACAGGCATTTCCCGCTTTACGTACTCTCGCCTTTACGAACGCTCCACGGACCCGCCGCCATTTTATTTTGCCACCTTTATGTGCCGGCGGTGCTCCGTGGATCCGGACCAAGGAGCAGAGTTTTTGGTCAGGAGAAGAGAAAGGTTAGTAACAATGATGATGATTGGTAGGAGGGGAGTGCTGTGCTGAGCTGCTCCTCTCCTGCCGCTGTGTTATAGCATGGCAGAGCAGATTGCAGTCTGCCAGTAAGTGCTCACTGAGAGAGCACTTCCTGTCAGACCGGGTACTGTACCATGGTGAGCAGGTACAGGACGGGAGGGTGGGAGAGACCTGAAAAGAGGGGATAGAGGAGACGCACATTGACAAGTACAGAAGGGGAGGGGGGAGAAACATTGGCTGTATAGGAAGGAAGGGGGGGGGGAAAGAGAGACATTGACAGGAACAATAAGGGAGGGAGGATAGACACATGGACACTAAGGGAAGGGGGGAAATGGGACACATGGATGGGTGTGGGTGGAATGGGACACATGGAGGGACTGAAAGAGGGGAAATGGGACACATGAATGGGGCTCGGAGGGGGGAATGGGACACATGGAGGGGCTTGGGGGGGAATGAGATACATGGAGGGGCCAATGAGACACAGAGGGGGAAGCAGACACCTGGAAGGGCTGGGAGGAGGTAATGAGACACTAGGAGGGGAAATGAGCCACCTGGAGTGGCTGGGAGAGGGTAATGAGACACCTGGAGGAGCTTGGGGGGTGAATGAGACACATGGAGTGTCTTAAAGGAACCAGAAACAAGTGCAGTGCTACATTCAACAAGTGCAACATGTGGTTGAGGAGGAAGATAACTGATGATTTGATGAAGATTTCAATATGGTATGTCTTCTTTTAATATTTTTAAAACATATGTATTTGCTATGCTTTCATCTTGTATTGTCAGGGTATTTATATCGGCAGACATCTTGTGCTATGATAGAAATTAAAAGTGTATATTCTGAGTCACTCTGAACAGAGCAGACTCCATTTTGTTATTTTCAAGTTAACAAAAAGACACAAGATTTCTATCTGTAAAACTAACCACTTTCCCAGAGCTAAGGAATGCATATTATAAACAAACCAAATGATAAGCAGAAAGGGGGTTGGACAGACTGTCTAATGCTAATGGAATAGATCAATTCTAAACCCAGACATTTGTGACAGAGAAGATTAAATAATTTAAGTTTTACTGTCTATATCTATAAGGTCCCATTGTAAGTTATGGGTCAAAACTCAGATTTGCCAGACACATAGTCTGGACAAAACTTAAAGAAACTGTTTTTATCTGACAGAAAAACAGAATTATGACCACCATAAAGATAGGCCAAAATGACGTCAAAATAGCCACCAGGAAAAGTTAACTCTTTCCTGGATAGGTATGTTTAGTGGGACAAGACTGCCCTCTATAGACCAAATAACTAAATTGCGATCTGGAAGATAACCACACCTCTAGTGCTTCTATTGGGTTATCAACTGATGACGTACAGAGAGTCTGGCCCTTTAAAAGTTAGGACAAAGGGAAGATTGGGATGCAAGGAGAGGAAAAAGAGGAGAGAGGAATTGGAAGTTTGGGACTCCAACTCGGACATGCAGAGAAACCCAGGACAACATCTGAGACTAACACTCTAGTCTTAAAACTCTAACACTTAGAATTTTACTGACTTTCTAACCAACACCACCTTTCACCATAACTCATGCACCTACAGACATCCAAATAAGTTCCTGAGACTACCTACCAATCGGATGAAATATCTACTCAACTGGTAATTATACTGGTTTCATTTAATTAATTAAATTAATTAAATTGTATTAATAGCATTATATATGACTAGGATAAAGCACGGTCAGATTTCCATATTAGAAATCTTAGTTAACTAAAGAATATATAGTTATAAACATTCCATTCTGCAGGTGGAATTAAGAATAATTATATATTGATGTGATAGTATCACGTGTTAGCATACCGTTGTTTTTATCCAGGTGTATTGATTTGCTCTAAATTAAGATAAGATATCTTTTAGACAAATTAAAATCTGCTTATATAATATGGTAGATTCTCTTATTGGATGGTTCCAGGAAATTACTAATGAACTGGTTTAAATGTTATTTTATTTAAAATTACATAAGAATAGATCTTAACTACCTAGGAGATCTAGCCAGCATTGAAAGGGTTATTCAGTGATTCTAACTGTTAGCCAGGGTTTTATGGCCCTTCGCTGTGAAAAGTTTCACTTTCAGTCTGTGTTAAAGATACTTCATAAATCAGAAGACTTGACAGAAAATTCTGTTTAGCCATTGAAATGTGTATACCCATTCCTTTGTATTGCATACCATTTTATACTGGACATTCATTGATTATTGTCACGCATGTTACATAATATTAATTAACTTGTTATAAATAAAATCTATTTTTATAACATTGTGATATTATATGAAATACTTAACACGATAACGATATTTGGGATCTGAGAATTGAATTAGTGGGCAATTCTCAACTGTTTACTATTATTATCCCCACAGTATTTGTACTTCATAATTAAGGTTTTCAATGGAAAAATTTGTTGGTCAGGAACGGAACCCATGTTTATTACATTGTGGTCTATGGGAAATTAGTTCTCACTTTATGAACTAGGCTTCGGAACCAATTAGTTCGTAAAGTCGAGAACTACCTGTATATAAGTTTATATCTTATGGCCACTGCCTATGCTCTGACATATTGAACTTTGTGTTCTTTGAAAATAACTTTTTATGCTAATGCTTGTCCTTTGAACTGATCTTTAATACCAAAAAAAAAAGAAAACTTTGGCAATATTGGGTGTGGTTTGCCTGTCTTCTGATGATATTTACATTCATCAATGGAAGGAAATTCACCTCCATCCTGCACTCTTATACCCCTCTCCCCCCAATTTCCCACAAGCCAAGTGGCTCAATTCCATATAAACCTGTATGTACAGATCTTCCAGGACAGCTTAATCAATAGCATTCTGTGGCTGCAGGAGGTATGGCTTTTCTGCATGTCTAAATAATTTTCGAATAAATTGCACATAAATACACACACGCATGCACTATAATTGTCCAAAGCTTCTTGGTATATATACACACATACATACATACACACACTCAATTGCGCTATTAAATGTATTGTCCTGCATGTAACAGGTCATTCATGGTTAAGGTCAATTCCTAAAATGCAGCATACAATAGAACTCCATACTTAAAACACACCACCCTTGCTGGGTTGTAGAATTTAGAAGCCAGCACACATGAAGTTTAAACAATGTCCCTTTATTAGGTCCGACATAATATTACACACAATAGGACTCCATAAAAGAACAAATTGTTGCATTTTCTTTTTTTCAAATAAGGTAATACGTTAATGTCTTTGCATTTCTGGATGGCTGTGTACAATCAAGTAGCATTGAAGATAAAATATTTGGATGGATCCCCTGTTGGGAAAAGAAAAAGGAGAGTTCAATTAATAGATAGCAGAAGATGAAAAAAAGTAAACATACTGTGCTGTCAGATCTGATTGAAAAGGAACAATTTTTTCATGTTGGCAGGGGAGGTGTGGCTAGAGCGGCATAAACAAAGAAAAAGTGATTTAACGCCTAATCGGCAGAGAATTAAGCAGTGAGACTGCAGGGACATTATCTATACACCACAACTAAGCCAAAGATTTTATTTTGTCCTTGAGTCTCCATTTAAGATAGAGTTTTAATATATTGTACACTGATGCAGTTAATTGGATGCAGATGTGTGTTTACAGATACCTTAAGAGAAGTCAATACTTTGCATACCCTTATTGTATCTTATATGCTGAATATCCAGATCAACCTACTAAAGTAGGGGTTTTGCACTATCATTTCTGAAGTACAAAGAAGGACTAAAATGTAAATCACGTTTTCACTGCCCAATATTTTGTGTGCTGAATTTAGCAAATGCAAACTATTAGTTGTTCTCACCTGTAATGCTCATGCCTTATCCAAGCCCAACTCTTCTGGGGTGGAGATACCAAGCTCATCTAAAGTTGGTCTAAGCTCTTGAATAACATAGGGGTAGATTTCCTTATGAGGTCCAGCCTTGTCCTGAAATTAAGAGAACACAAGGACAGACATTTAGGTGAATGTCCTATCTGTTACAATCATTCCATCAAAACAAGAGCATTTAAAGAAGCTTGGAACAAAGAAAATGTATTTAATCAAATTATCCAGATACATTGTTGACACCTGCAATTGGAACTTTACGCAAGTTTGAAAATTTAGAGGACTCCAGGATAAATCATCAAGAACACACTGTCCAGAATGAGTCCCACATGGTCCAATGATTTGTGATCGACCAGACTGCATTGCTTCAAATTTTTTTTGAATGTCTTCAAGATAAGTTGCCCAGCATTTTATATAAGAGGCGTATAAATTATAAATAGTTACAAGAGGCTTCTGAAAGCCTCACCAGCCATATGTCATGCTTCACATGTTTGATTTATATACAGTTCTATGTGAGATTTAAACTTTAAGGCTCTTTGAGATAATCTTAAGCAAAACATTAAAAATTACCTGCGCACAATCCCAAATCCCTATGTACATTAAAATAATTGGAGGGTTTTTTGTATCATCCCAGTGACCATTAAAGTGGAAGCTCACTTGACCCTGTCAAATCAAACTGAATGTTACACTAAAAAAATTCACCTAGCCGCTTCCAGCTAAAAAGCAAAATTTGAGATAGAAAAGGGGATTTTTTTTAATTTTTATAAACCTATACACACTTATTAACCCTTAATATGGTACACATGGCGTGGGCGGTAGCATTGTAACATCGCTGTCAAATAGAAAACTACATTTTGTGTGTGTAATCTTATTTGTATTTTGCCCTGCCAGAACTATTGTGCACTACCTTTTGCAACATGGCAACGGTGACATAAGCTACAGCTATCAAACATTTAGATAGATCTCCTTGCAAGAGATGGAAAATGTGGTATTATGTATGGTATGATGTAAAGGTGGCTGTCATGAAAAACCAGAATGCGGCCATTAACCCCTTAAGGACACGACATGTGTGACATGTCATGATTCCCTTTTATTCTAGAAGTTTGGTCCTCAAGGGGTTAATCAATTTAAGGGGGATCAGTTTTAGCAAAAAAATTTTTGCATCTGCACATAGCCCCAAGCCTCTGTCACTCAATCACTGAATAATACATTTGGATCTTCAGTATTACAGAATTGTGACAGTAGTCTTGAACACCAGGAGTTTGAGACAAACCCTTTACTACAGTACGTCACTATGTGCCAATTCTAGGTGCAGTGTGCGTATAATGTATTTGCGTATTTTTTATTTGTGTGCTCTCCAGTCCTGCTGATGCTTGCTTCCAACTAGATGGATGTGGATATAGACCTTGTATAGTGCCCTTTGTTTGTAGAAACAGCAATATGTACTGCCTGAATAGTAAGGCTTGTTAATTTGCATATTCAGGTATATTTGTATACTGCCAATTATGCAGGCAGGAGAGATATTTTGTGTTAATTATGGTCTTCCCCACCCCTTTATAAATACATCATTATGGTATTTTAAGTTCCTTCATGTTGTCTGATAGTTGTCACAGCAAACTAAATCTATGAAAAAACAAGGGGTTGGTTGCACTCACTGGAACATTCTTAAATGGGGTGCTGCTGGGGGCCAATACATACAGTATAAAATTAAAATCCAGCGCATTCCCTATCTACTAAACAGCTACTTTGATGCTGATTTTAAAAGTTTTATTAAAAACACCTAATCTAGGCAAAAAATAGCAGGGAAAGTAGCCGTTTAGTAGTTAGGGAGTGCGCTGGAATTTCATTTTTACTGTATGTATTGGCCCCCAGCAGCACCCCATTTAAGCATGTTACGGTGAGTGTAACCAACCCCCTGTTTTTTCATATATATTTAGGAGTCTAGCCAACTCCTTGGTCCTGCACCCCTCCCTGTCACAGGTGCCTCATCCCAGGACCCATTTAGCCTTGTACTGCAGAGAACTCGAGATTGAAGGATTTCCCCAAGTGAGTAGCTCATTTAGCAGCCAGAGTAGGACCTGCCAAAGATGGGGTACATTGGCGTTGTGGCAGGCTTATGCAATGTATGATGATATAATGTAACTAAAACACCATTATTTTTTGCCTAGATTGTGTTTTTAATAAAAACTTTCAAAAGCAGCACCAAAGTAGCTTTTTAGTAGATAGGGAGTGCAGTGGATTTTCATTTTTTACAGCAAACTAAATATAATGAGCATGTGGGCTAGTATCAAGTAAAAATAAAGCTATGTATGTTGGTTCCTTTTGGAACTGTGTACCCTGTGTGGATTTTTAGGGATCCCAGTAACAAGAGTCTTCGAACCTGTTGGCTGGCTGCATGCTCCCTTTAACCCACGGGCAAAAATAGAGCAAGGCCTGAGAGCCACAAGTCTCTCTTTATAAAAGACAGGAGCTATCATATTGCAGGCAGAGGTCCATACCTTCTTTAAAGAAGCTGCAGAGAATTAGGCAAAATGGACGATATCTGCCTTGAAAGAAAGAGCGCCAGAGAGACCTCAGTCAAGCTTCGCTGACTGGGGCTGAAGCGTTGCTGGGTCCGGGCAAATGACTAGAAAGCAGACTGGCCGAAAGTACTCGGTCGAAGAACAGGAGCACTGTCACAAGCATTTATTCAGAAATGGCAGAGGAGATGGCATAAATACATTTATGCTTTTTTTTTAGGTCTGATACTTTACTTGTACTGTAGAGTTCAAGGACAACATTTGTAATGTAGAGGTTAAATTATTAAGCTACATGAGTTTTGTGCAAGTTAAAGTGAGGTGGTGAATTTGTACAAGCTAGCAATCAACCCAAGGAGGTTTGTGAGTTATCAAATTCACTAGAGCAAATATACACAACAATGCATAAAAATCTTTGTTCCCTTCTCTTTAACACACACACACCAAACTTTCTAGTCTTGTTACAAAATACCCCCCAATAGAATTTACAAAATACAAACCCCCTCCCCTCCCCTCCCAAAAGAACATACATTGACATGTAAGACACTCACCTTCACAGCTTCTAGAATGCGGACTGTGCTTGCAAAGTCATTTAACCGTCTGCATGCACGCAATGCAGCATCAATAATTTTTGGTTCTGGAACCAGATCATAACCAATTAGGGTGTTCACGCCTTAGGAGAAAGGAAAACATTGTTTAAGTAAAAGAGTACGTAGATAACCATTCCTAAATAGCATTTTTAAAGGTCAAAGTTGACATCTCCAGTTAGAGTCCGATGGGGTGCAGTGAATGTAGGTTTATTTACCTAAAGTGGTCCCTTGCAGCTGCTATGCTCCTGCAGAAGCTCCTGGGGCTTCATCTGCCAGAAGTACCATCAGTTTTCTATTCTTACACATGTGCAAGAGTACAACACTGAGGTCCATGGAGGATCCAGCAAGATCTTTGGTGCCTCTAGATGGCATCTAATGATGAGCGAACAAAGCCTGAATCCCACAGCCATCACAAGAGAAAGCAAGGATTATTCTTCAAAGTAGTCTCTACTTTGTCTTATGGTATTTTTGGATTGTGTTGGGATTTCAGTAAGATTCCAAAACAGTCAGCATGAGTTTCATAAACATTGCATTTTATTGAAATTCCAACACAATCCAAAGATACCATAAGAGAGCAACTTTAAAGTTTTTTTCAAATCACTCCATCACGGCTACTCATTAAAGTGAGAATTCGGAGTGAATTTCAAATTTAAGGTCAAAATAGCAAAAATGGAAAAGTCAACTAGGCTTTCAGTTCAAATTTTAACATTTTAAATCACTCTACATTCTAACTTTATTGAATAAAACGGTATGATTCAGAGAAAAGCTCAACTTAAGTACTATGATGTATGTTTAAATTAAAGGTTCTCAACCAAACAGACGTAAAAAAATATTCTGTAGAATTTCTTTAAAGCATGACATAGGTGCTGTATGTGTAAATTTATGCCTCATTTTATTTGAGCAATTTTTTATGTGTTTTTGGCTGTTTGATATAGAAAGGGAAAGATAAAACACTAAAATATTTAGTGTGTAAAAAAATCTGTTTGCGCTTACAACAACCTTAAGTGAAAGTCATTTAAAGGGTCATTTCAAGAGTATATTTACATCCAATTACAACATCAATTTTGTGTATTCTAAAAAAGGCAAGAGACACCGGACTCCATCTTTTGCAGCAAATCTATTGGCCAACATAAAAGATATATAAAAGGTAAAAAAAAAAAAAAAAAACTGTAAAAAACTAGAATATACAGTATACATAGGTAGAATTCACCACTCTGTGTTGTTTAACCAAAGAGAACACGGAAGTGGCCCAAATATGCAATTTAATCTACCTCAATAACCAGCAAGGAAAATAATGCATTTAAAAATTTACACAAGGCTTGTGTGCTGAAAAATAAGCAGGTACTAAAAATGTTTGTGTTGCTGCTTAAGGGAACACTAGAAGGTCAGGAACACATCTGTATTCCTGACCCTAGTGTTTAAATTAGGTGGCTTGCCCCCTTAAGGAGTAATAAAACTCACCTTATTTCTAGCGCCACGCGGATCCAACCCTCATCCGCCTCCTTGCTGACATCAGAATTTATGATTTTTAGCCAATCCAATGCTTTCTGCTTTCCCATAGGAAAAGCATTAGATTGGATGAAATCAAGGGGGTGGGGCGGCACCAAATGCCGGCTTGGCTAATCAGCACCTTCTTAGAGATGCATTTAATCAGTGCATCTCTATGAGGAAAATTAAACCGCAATCCTCAGATGGCCACTGGATGTGTCCTTAGGGGGGGCAACGTAAACACTGCATTTCCGATGAAAAGACAGAAGGGAATGATTATACTCACAAGAAGAACTACATTAAGCTGTAGTTCTGATGACTATAGTGTCCCTTTAACTTTATACAGTGATTGTAATTCTTTTCTAGATCCATTTTAAGCTATGACTCCTGAGGAGAATGCTGCTAAGACATGGAAAACATGCATTTGGCATGATGCAAAATAGATGGACTCATACTACTTACTGCATTATGCTTTAATACAAAGATTGACTCCAAGGGCCATGATAATTACAAATAAATAATAAATAAAAATGTACTTGTGTGTCAAAGACCACGACTCATGCAAAGTACATTTAATTATAACAGCTGACTGTGAGGACGGAAATGAGATGGGAGACCGGTCTCATTAGATCCCATGTCATCATGACAAAGAATTACTCTAGGCATCATGACCACTTCAATGATTTGAAGTGGTAATGGTGCCTAGTTTTCCCCCCTCTGCTTCCAGAAAGGTTGGCATTGCCCCTTTAAAAGATACTGCATAGCACCTGACATTGCAGAAAAAAGTACGGTCTGCACAGAATTAGTTTTATTTGCTGTTTAAGTCACTGTCCTGTAGATACAAAGGATTGCCGTATGACAATTCCAGGAAAATTAATTAGGACTTTGTGATACTTATCCTCTAGGTACAAATAACCTTCATTTGTGTGTGCTGATGAGCGGTCTTCAGGGTACAATGCATCTATTAATAGAACTTAGACAAGCAATTTATTTGACTGCATTTGCTTCAGCAAAACCTAGTGTTAAAGAATTATAAAAATAATGACTGAATCTAAGGATGTCACCAGGTGCAGATGAGGCTGTGAGGCACACCAGATGAGCAGCTAATTGACACCTCCATGGTTCTATAGAACGTACAAGCGCTCTGTAATTAGGAAAGCTAGCTGCTCAAATTAAAAGGGCTTGGAGAGAACGCATATTACCAGCTACAGAATTCTGTACCTCGGAATATTTTCTCTCATTTCATTCACATGTGAGAAACTTACGGACTACTTTGTGACTATGGACTACGGCACAGCTAATGTAACTTAGGATGTGTATCACTAGTCAGAAAAATAAAAGTGAAGAGTCGGGAGGAGCGTGGGCTGTATACCTCTTTTCTGTCCTAGTGACTTAAACCATAAAATAATTTCACATTCAATATCTGAGATGACATGTCATTTTATTAAAACAAAAAGTAAACTCACCTTTCCTCAGCTCCCAGGCATCGATGTCTGGCTTGTTGAAGTACGTCACCCAGCGTGCATCAAACTCCTCGTCTGATTCGTGTTTGGCATGAGAATAACAGCGAGCAGCTACTGCAGCTGTGGACGAAAAAAAAAAATAGTATTAGGTCACAAGAAACAATTGCTACCGCTGCTTTGCTGAAAATTAGTAGTTGCAACAAATAATTGCATGAACTTTTTTTGAAGGGCAAAATACCCCAAATAAAATGCATTTTGTTGACATGAGGGAAGGGTTGGTGGTTTAAGTTTTGGAAATTCACGGTTAACTATTGCAGTTGATAACTACAACTTTTATTTACAAAATTTTGTAACAAAATCTATTATTGGCCGGCTCTGAAGGAACTTCTTTTGTATTTATAACTGGTCTTTAGGGGTTTATGGTACCTACAATCAGTAACTATAACCAAGGTGGATAAAAATTGATGAGGGAAATAAATAGGATTTTCTTTTAATCCTAGTTAATTGAACTTATACTCAACAGAAGATGGTTGGTCTCTAATACGGTAAATTTCCAAATAGGGCTTAACCCTGAAAAATAGTAACACAAAAAGAAGAAAAACTCTGGTTCCTATCTGCTATGGGACAGGAATCAAAGTAATGCAAATACCCTTAGAATCAAAGTTAGAATATCAAATATAAGTAGCAGGTCTAAAGTACATTAAAGTTTAGAACACACTAATACAGGTGAAAAGACCACAGAACATGCTGTTAACCCTAGTAGCGAACTGTAATTAAAGGGACACTTTAGTCACCAGAACAACTACAGCTTAATGTAGTTGTTCTGGTGAGTATAATCATTGCCTTCAGGCATTTTCATGCAAACACTGACTTTTCAGAGAAAAGCCAGTGTTTACATTGCCCCTAGGGAGTGGCCACGGGAGGTGCTTCCTGGCTCATTGCTGCACAGTAGGCAGCTCTGCCATTCGGCATCCCTACGCTCTGCATGATGACGCTGAATTTTCCTCATATAGATGCATTGATTCAATGCATCACTATGAGGGAGGTGCTGATTGGCCAAAACGGTATTTGGCCCAGCCACTTGCTGATTTTAGCCAATCCAATGCTTTCCCCATGGGAATTGTATTGGCTCAAAATCGGCAACTCTCATTATGTCACCACGGGGACGGGGCCAGCGGACCTGTGGAGAGCTGAAAATAATGTGAGTTTTAACTCATTCTGAGGGAGCCATGGGTCGGGGGGCAAACCACCTAAATGGTGGGTTTTCACTATATTGTCAGGAATACATATTTGTGTTCCTGACCATAGTGTTCCTTTAAGCACAAAATTCAAACAGCCTGCAGTGACTGGCCGTATGTGGAGATGGTATTGGAAAAGATACAATGATCACTTTATCCAAATATACAAGCCCAAAGTGTAAATTATTCTATGGTAGTGACACATCGAGTTTAAACTAGACAAAAGGTATCTAAATTGGGTAAAACATCCCCAATATTATTAGTAACCTCCTAGTTCCTCTGGATCACAACAAATATTCCTTGTATTACCAGAAATCTGTCCCATTCGGGATAAAAAGGCTCCCTCCTACTCCTCTAAATACCTCGTAATCCTGCCTATCGCATAGGTGATATTCAGAATCCCTAACCTACATGGACGGCAGGAAAAATATCAGTTAGCTGATTAAAACTAAAAAACAAATCCCTATAACCAGTGCTCCCCCAAATTCCAGTGTATGATCTAAACAAAATCCATAAATTTTTTTAAAAAAAAATAAAACTATCTACAGTGTAACTATCCCTGAGGAAAACGCCCGACGCACGTTTCGGCGCTAAGATACTATTCCTGCCAACACCTGCAGTGACAGTGACTTATACGACCACTAGAGGTGCTTCCTAGTTCAGTGTGTGCAGCACTGGCATTCAGCATCTTCATTCAAAGCATCTGTAAGAGGAAATGCTGACTAGTGCAGTGTCATTTTTTTGCCACACATGTGCAATAGCTTTCTATTGTTTTCCAACGGGAATGCATTGGATTGGCTGAGATCGTCAAGATTAAAAATCCCAGATGGAGATGGGTCCGGTCGTGGCAAGACATTAGAGAAAAGAGAAGTAAAACAAGCTTTTAACTCCACAGAGGGGGGTCAGGGCACCTAAGCAGAAAGTTTAACACTATGTTAGAAATACATGCATACGCAACAGATGTGTTTTATCCTGCAACATTTAGCACTGATCTTTCTTTTAGATTGCTTGTCCATAGTATAATTTCTTATAAGAACATATATTGGAAATGGCTTGAAATATCTAAGGCAGTGGAATGTATAATGTCTTGCTGCAGTTTTATTTTGCAGAGATAAGTGAAAAAAATAAGTCACAACAATGATCAAACTACTTTTAAGTATTTAACATCATTCAAATGTAAAAAAAAGTGAAGCAATCTGAATGTAAACCTGAAATAGGGAAATGCTGTGTCCATGGTGAAAATTAGAACAGACAACTTAAATCGTCTTGTTAATGTGTACTAGAAGCTCAGTACCATAACTAGTCCTGGAATGAACTACCAACAAAATGTGTCCTTAATTAAATCGCTTTACATGCAGGATGAGATATTGCATAATCCAGGCCATACACACAAACACCGAGACCGCATATAGAGGTGGTTACTAATTGGATATTTGCTGCATTCAATAAATCCACTGCTGATAATTTGTCACAAATCAGGGAGTTAAGCAACTATGTAATGTTACATGGCAGGACTACTGAAAGTAGTGTTTGCAAACATGATGAAGGTGTAATTCGAGTCAGTGACATTGGCACCGACGCGCATTATACCTTTATCATGTCATTAGTAGCAGATGACTGCCAAGTAAGTACTGTGCAGTATACAGGTGTGAGTGGTGGAGGTTATAACGTGCGACAAAATTGGTCATCTATTTGGTAAGCTGAAACAACCCTAGCCAGCACCAATGTGAATGCTACAGTCAGCCTTAGATCACATGGATTTCTTATTCTAATATTTAGTCCAGTGCGGTTAGCCTCTCATTGTCACACAAAGGTGGATGGATAGATTAATATTGCAGTTGCCAAAGCAACAAAATGCCAGGCAGCTACAGCTGATGCTCTCAGTCAATGAGCCAAGCCCTGCATTGTAGGTCCTAAGGCTAGCTAACAGAAGTGTCTTTTTCTGGATCTAAAGCCCTGTGGACACCAGCTGAGAAGTCAAACTCTCTGACTACTTACACTAATGGAGGTGCCAATGCACTTGATGCCATAACTACAACTCACTATAGTTGTTATGGTGCTTGGAGAGTTTCTTTAATGGTTAAATGTAAGAAGAAAATTTTAAATGTATCCGTTATCAGTCACGGTTTACCTATCTGGCTATGCGTCACCATTCATTTGGGTCTTCGATTAATGTTTCATGCCAAACCAGTTAGCGTTAAGGATGTAACTGCACATAATGCAAGCAATTTAATTGCCTTTCTTAACTACTCTAACACACAGGTAATTCCATGATTAAGCTAAACTGTCAAAAACCCTTAGATGTAACTGCCTGCAAGCACAGAAGCCACTCAATTAAGTTGTTTCAGTGTTCAAACTAAATCAAGTTATCACCAAAAATACAAAAGAAAAATTACTCTTCCAGAAGTGGCACTTACATAATAGGCTTCTGATGAAGTCAAGACTTTCACCAACATGTTACTGCACAGACTGCAAACTCTACAGCAGAGCCCTAAATCATGTTGTACAGAATCAGGTTCAGACAAGAGCACATTTATACTTTATTTCATTTTACAGACAAAACTACCAGTATAGATAGATATGTGAATAAACATGCATTTGTCGTCTCAAATATTCATTGTCCCTAGACTTTAAAGGGCCATTAGGCACGAAATCCTGATTTCAATTAGAAATTAGGGAACAGGCATGCATACGACATATGCACTTGCTTACACATTCTCCCACAGTAAGTCATGGAAGACAAGACATTGGCTGAGAGACTAAAGTCAGTTTATGGTTTGAATTAAAAAAAATAATACTGCTGAGGTGGGTCAGATGCCTCAGTCAGACCTGCAAAATAAGCAGAGCAACTTATTTTTGATGCATTATGATATGTATACAATGCTTGACGGAAAAGATCAATGCAGAAATTAAAATGACACTCCAGCCACCAACAACTTGGTAGGTTTTGGCCTCGTATAAATACTTTCTTTCCTCTACATGTAAACCTCGCTAGTTTAAGCCTAAAATAAAAAACGTTTTGCAGATTTGTTCAGTATAACTCCACCTTGACAAAGCATCATCCATTTTAGAAGTACTCTATTATTCTGCACAGCCAATGAGAGCAGCGTGAGATGAACTGCTGATATTTTATTATTTATATAGCGCCATCAGATTCCGTAGCGTTGTACAATGGATATCACTCTGACCCAAAGCAAAGTCACCACTTCCCATTAGCATTGCTCTGAAATACTATACAGATAAGGACAGTGATGTGACTGTGGAGTCAAGTCAGCAGCTCAAACTCATCATTCATTGCTTAATTTCTAATCAAAAAAAGGTTTTGTAAAAAGGGAAGGCATGGTTAAAGGTATGGAGATATGCTGCAGAAAGCAAACATTTGTTTTTCTCTTTTTACGCAAAAGATTTAAGCTGGAAGAAAACAGCATGAATACAAATCTGAACACACTTTATGGAATGAAGAGGCAAAGTTAAGTAGAGGTTTGAAGTGCAACATTCTGCAAAACATTTTTGTGTGTGCTAAAGGACTTTAGCATGCAAACAACAGCATATTAAAGCGGCTGTTATTTCACCAGAAACTTCAGTATTTCATACACAAAATGTTTACAAATACTCATTAATGGTGTTGGAATTACACGAAGAATTACAACGCAGTGAAAAGATACCATGAGAGTAGGAAGTTTCCACCGTCAAATTCTGCCAATTCGCCCAGCTGGCAGAATCAGGCTGACTATCAACAATTGCCTGATTAAGTCTATAGAGGCTAATGTGGACTTGCAGAATCCTCCATAGTCATCGAAGTAGTACTTCAGCGCATGTGATAGTAAAGCACGATAACGGCTCCAGGCGGATGAAGTGCCAGGAGCTGAAGAAAGATTTAATTATTCTCAACTGTACCACTGCACCCAAAAAGGGATGTCACCTTAGGGAGTGACTGCTACATATGCAAAGAGTCCAGAAGATGACAGTGATTTTAATAAAGTTAAAACATATCAAATGCATTCAAGTTGTATTGGTGAGTTACCTAAACCAAGTTATATAAAGGCAGGGCATTGCTATAATATAAATGGGAGGTGGGTTACGTTAAGAGAGAGAGAGCACTATGACATCATGGAAAACCATAATTTGGATCTATGCAGCACACAATGCAAAGTGCACTAAATCATATCCCTTAATGAGGCTGCATTAAGACAAAAATTGAAGAACACAATATGGCAACCTGCTTCTTGATATCTGAATTTTACAGTCTCCTTATATGAATCTTTAAAAAAAATAATAGTTGCCCATATGAAGAACAAATGGCTAAAAACCTACATGACAAGCCTACATCATTGTATTCGGTCAATAAGAAAGGTTTAATCTCATGGAGCATAGAAGTGTTGGAATGGACAGAGTAGAATGGCAGTGCAGTTCAATTAACTGCATTTATAGATGTACTTTTTTACCTACAAAACTATACTGGTAAAAGAAAAACAACTGATCTATACAAACAATGCAGGAGGACTAGCTAGGCAGCAACTCTGCTGGATGTCAGTGATTATTATATAGCTATACCAAGCGGAAAGAGGAAATGAATTAGTGCAAGCATGCAGCTCTCCTTCATAACATATCTAGTAGTTCCTCAAAGTCACCTTGCTTCCGGGTTTCATGCACAGCTCCATCAGCTGCTTTTAAAAATACACGTCCCACTATATGATTTGCACAGAGTAAAACTGCATTCCAAAGGAAACTTCACAATGAAAAAAAACACACATTTCTAAAGTCATGTCACAGACTTGCCACTTAAAAAAAAAAAAAAAAAAAAACACACTTGCTACAGGGAAGACATGTTTATTTTAAATTGAGGCCTTTGTCTGGTCTCAAACACTTGATCAGAAACACTGTCAATGAATATCAAAATTCACTTATTGTGCAGTTTAAATGTAGTTAATTTGGAAGAAATTTGGTGAAACTGCAGCCATTACATTGCAATCTACGATGATTATTAAATATTGGGGCTATGAACATTCATTTATATCTGCAATGCAACAGCGAGTGTGCATCTGGCAACAGAATGTTTAGAATCAACAATAGAACGCCTGCCTGCAGTGGCACTTTAATTGGAATAATTACATGGATGTGCCTTGTTTCACATGCACCATGTCATCATCAAACCTAAAACGGATCAAAGGGGGGGGGAAAACATTTTTTTATTATATATATATATATATATATATATATATATATATATATATATATATATATATATAAATAAAATCTGTTACAGGAGCACTGCACAATTATAACCAAGCAAAGGGAAAAATAAAAACCAATATAAAAGCAGTCTGTTACAGGAGCAATGCAAGCTGGTAACCAACCTACTCATTTATTTTAATGTTTAAATTATATATAGTAACATTAAGAGACCCCCATAGAGAATAAGACATTTACAATGACAGTGGGGACACACAGTGACACTCATTCTGGTAAATGACATATAAGGGGGGTAGACCGGTTTATTAGAGTGTTGGCATGGGGGGGAGGGAGAGCCAGCTGGGGGGGAGGGAGGGGGTGCATTTCCTATCAGACCCCCACATTCCCCCATTGATCTGCAGAGGCTGACATGAAGCTCGGGCAACAGCCGCCACAGGAGGCCGCAGGTGAAGCCTGCTCCGGTCATTACAAGGGCACAGCGGCCCCGGGGGGCCAGTGGGGTCACAAAGGGCGGGTCACTGTCCGGGGGGGGGGGGGAGAGCACTGCCAGCACCGGGCCCCCCCAGCCTGCAGTGACCGGGGTCTGCCCGCGCGGTGTGCCCCCCGGGGGGCGCGGTGCCCTCAGTCCCTGGTTGAAGGACACGGCGGGCGGCCGGTGGGAGGGTGAGGAGGAGGAGGTGCCGGCTGGCCGGGCGGTCTCACCTGGTGTGCATGCCGGGGAGGGCTGCAGGCGGCAGCGGGGGAGGCTCCGCAGACCGGCAGACACACAGCGCCGGAGGACAGCAGCTCCTAACATGGCGGCGGCGGCTGGGAGAGAGAGTGAGAGAGCGCGCTGGCTGACGGGAAGGCTGTGCGGCTGGCGGAGGGATCCGGACCGGAAGGAGAAAGAGAGAGAGAGAGGCGGCTCGCGCTCAACCACCAGCACCACGCTCCCGGCACCTCGACAGCAAGACAGGCAAGGGGAAATGTGGGCGGAGCGTGAGAGGGACTGACGTCACTGCACCATAGAGACAGGCGGGGCCTGCGGGAGGATAGCGCCACATGCTGGAAGGAGGAGCGCATGACACGCCTCCTGTCTGTAGAGCAGTTTGAAACAGATTTAAAGGGACACTGTAGGCACCCAGCCCATTGGAGTGGCCCATTGGGTGCAAACTCCCATCGCACTTAACCATGACCATTCAATTAATACAGTTTTTATAAACCGCGATACTTACCTGCTAGGGCTAACTCCTCCTCTAGTGACGGTCTACCAGACAGCCACTAGAGGGACTTACAGGTGGATAGCCGACTTTTTGGTCACCTCATGCTCTGCATCCCCATAGGAAAGCATTGAATAAAGCTATGGGGAAATACTAATGTGACCGCGGCCATTGCTGCGCATGCGATTAAGCCTCTGCTGGCTGAGGGGGGAGGGGGGTAAGGGGATAGAGGTCGCCTTGACAGAGGGGGAAGCTAGTAGTGTGTTTCTAGGTGGTGAGCCTGAGCAATTTTTTTAAGGGGCTTTAAGATTTCTGATGGCAGCTCTGGTTACTGATTTCAGGAATATATAGGGATCCAACACGCAGTGTGTAGTAAAAATGTATACCGTTATATATGCGGACTTTAGAGTGGCCGGGCTAACTTCACAAGGACAGAAAGTCATCAGGGACAAGCCGAGGTCAGGGAAGCCAGAAATCAGGGATAGCGAGAATACAGAAGCCGAGTCAAAGGAGAACAGAAGGTAGAATCGTCAAACAAAGCCAAAGTCAGAACCAAGAATACACAAAATACACAATAGAAACAACGCTCTGTATGGAACAATAATGAACCACAACAGGGCAATGACTTATGCCCTGGGATCCCCTTGTTTAGTGGCTCTTTAAATTTGTAGCCACGTCCCCAAAACGTTTGAATTCTAACGTTTTGTCAGGCTGTGACGTCACCAACATCATGACGTTGGTGCACACGCCGCACGTCATAAAAATAGGCGGGCTATTGCTGCTGGCGTAAGAATCACTGGAGAAAGGAGAGGGACTTCGGGAACGGTCCCTCTCCACATGCAGGACGTCTCCAGGTTCTGGCACGTGCCAACACACAAGATACCCTGACATTGACGATCTCAGCTGGGTTAAAGCGGTGGGCTCAGCAAGACTGGCTTGTCGGGGAAAAGTTAAGTAAACTTTCTTTACTTACATAATAATATAAAACAGGGTTCAAAATTTCTACTAACAAATAGCGACTGAAAATTTTGCCCTGATAAGTATGCTATGGCTTGAAGTAGTGAGTAGCAAAGCTAGATTAAAACTTCAAGCCTTTGTCTAAGTGTCCTGCCCCTCAGACTGAATACAGGGATCTGTGCATGGCCCCGCCCCCTCAGACTAAACACAGCGATCTGTGCATGGCCCCGCCCCCTCACACTGAACACAGCGATCTGTGCATGGCCTCGCCCCCTTAGAGTCAACACAGTAATCTGTACATAGCTCCATCCCCTCAGACTGAACACAGCGATCTGTGCGTGGCCCCGCCCCCTCACACTGAACACAGCGATCTGTGCATGGCCTCGCCCCCTTAGAGTCAACACAGTAATCTGTACATAGCTCCACCCCCTCAGACTGAACACAGCGATCTGTGCGTGGCCCCGCCCCCTCACACTGAACACAGCGATCTGTGCTAGTCCTTGCCCCCTTAGAGTCAACACAGTAATCTGTACATAGCCCCACCCCCTCAGACTGAATACAGGGTTCTGTGTATGGCCTCGCCTCCTTAGAGTCAACACAGTAATCTGTGCGTGGCCCCGCCCCTCAGACAGAACACAGCAATCTATGCATAGCCCTGCCCCTCAGACTGAACACAGCGACCTGTGCATGGCCTCGTCCCATTAGAGTCAAGACTGCGATCTGTGCAATCTATGCGTAGCCCCGCCCCTCAGACTGAACACAGCAATCTGTGCGTAGCCCCGCCCCTCAGACTGAACACAGCAATCTGTGCATGGCCCCACCCCTTTAGACTGAACACAGCAATTTGTGTGACCCCGCCCCTCAGACTGAACACAGTAGTCTGTGCATAATGCTACACACAGTGCTGCAAATACTTCTACTACCCACACATTTACACACACAAACAGACACACACTGCTACCCACACTACATGCACACACTGATACACATACACTACTACACACGCTGCTACCCACACTATATGCACACACTGATCACACACTGCTACACAAGCTGATACCCACACTATTGGCACACACTGATACACATACACTACTACACACGCTGCTACCCACACTATATGCACACACTGATACACATACACTGCTACACACACTACTACCCACACTATATGCACGTACTGATACACATACACTACTACACACGCTGCTACCCACACTATATGCACACACTGATACACATACACTACTACACAAGCTGCTACCCACACTATATGCACACACTGATACACATACACTACTACACACGCTGCTACCCACACTATACGCACACACTGATACACATACACTACTACACACGCTGCTACCCACACTATATGCACACACTGATACACATACACTGCTACACACACTACTACCCACACTATACGCACACACTGATACACATACACTACTACACACGCTGCTACCCACACTATATGCACACACTGATACACATACACTACCACACACACTACTACCCACACTATACGCAGACACTGATACACATACACTACTACACACGCTGCTACCCACACTATATGCACACACTGATACACATACACTACCACACACGCTGCTACCCACACTATATGCACACACTGATACACATACACCACTACACACGCTGCTACCCACACTATATGCACACACTGATACACATACACCACTACACATGCTGCTACCCACACTATTGGCACACACTGATACACATACACTGCTACCCACACTATATGCACACACTGATACACATACACTGCTACACACGCTGCTACCCACACTATATGCACACACTGATACACATACACTGCTACACACGCTGATACCCACACTATATGCACACACTGATACACATACACTACTACACACGCTGCTACCCACACTATATGCACACACTGATATACATACACCATTACACACGCTGCTACCCACACTATATGCACACACTGATACACATACACTACTACACAAGCTGATACCCACACTATATGCACATGCTGCTACCCATACATTGTTACAAACACACAGTGCTGCATACACACACTCTACACAAATACACACCAATGCACACATACATAAATATACACATAATACAAATAATATTAATAAGGAACAGCACACACAGAGAAAAATACAGCTTTAAATTTTACAAGGCTACCTAAAATCAATCATCTGAGAAAGCAAATATGGGGATTCAGTTACACCTTATGGCCATGTCATGTGAAGCCCACCCAGGGCCGGACTGGCCCACCGAGATACCGGGAAATTTCCTGGTGGGCCGTCGGCACCTGGGGCCGGGCAGGCAGCGGGCTCTTCTTGCGGCCACAGAGAGAGCTCTTCTGGCGGCCGCAGGGGGAGCTGGCTGTTCTGTCTCTGCTCCCCCGCCCTCGCGCGCTAGAAAGAGACCGGGGCCGGAATATGACGTCATATTCCGGCCCCGGTCTCATTAAGCGGCACGCTGGGGAGGGGGAGCAGAGACAGAACAGCCAGCTCCCCCTGCAGCCGCCAGCACAAAGGTTGAAATTATGTGTGTCAGTGTGAGTGTATGTGTGTCTGTGTCATGGTGTGTGTGTGTGTCTCTGTCTGTCATAGTGTGTGTGTGTGTCTGTCTGTGTCATTGTGTGTGTGTGTGTCTCTGTCTGTCATGGTGTGTGTGTCTGTCTGTGTCATTGTGTGTGTGTGTGTCTCTGTCTGTCATGGTGTTTGTGTCTGTCTGTGTCATTGTGTGTGTGTGTGTCTCTGTCTGTCATGGTGTGTGTGTCTGTCTGTGTCATTGTGTGTGTGTGTGTGTCTGTCTGTGTCATTGTGTGTGTGGTGTGTGTGTGTCCATCATGGTGTGTGTGTCTGTGTCATGGTCTGTCTGTGTCATGTGTGTGTGTTGTCATGGTGTGTGTGTCTGTCTGTGTCACCATGTGTTGTGTCATGGTCTCTCTGTGTCGTTGCCTGTGTGTCATGGTGTGTGTGTCTGTCTGTGTCATGTAATGTGTGTCTGTGTCACAGTGTGTGTTTGTGTCACAGTCTGTCTGTGTTATGGTGTGTTTCTGTCATTGTATGTGTGTGTGTCTGTCATGGTATGTGTGTGTCTCTGTCATGGTGTGTGTCTGTCTGTGTCATGGTGTGTCTGTGTTTCTGTCTGTGTCACGGTGTGTGTGTGTCTGTGTCACGGTCTGTCTGTGTCATGGTGTGTGTCTGTCATGGTATGTGTGTTTGTACTCACCTTTTTTCCCCCACGTCGTGCTGGTCTCCCCTCGACTGGCCCTGCCTCAATTTGTAGCCACGTCCCCAAAACGTTTGAATTCTAACGTTTTGTCAGGCTGTGACGTCACCAACATCATGACGTTGGTGCACACGCCGCACGTCATAAAAATAGGCGGGCTATTGCTGCTGGCGTAAGAATCACTGGAGAAAGGAGAGGGACTTCGGGAACGGTCCCTCTCCACATGCAGGACGTCTCCAGGTTCTGGCACGTGCCAACACACAAGATACCCTGACATTGACGATCTCAGCTGGGTTAAAGCGGTGGGCTCAGCAAGACTGGCTTGTCGGGGAAAAGTTAAGTAAACTTTCTTTACTTACATAATAATATAAAACAGGGTTCAAAATTTCTACTAACAAATAGCGACTGAAAATTTTGCCCTGATAAGTATGCTATGGCTTGAAGTAGTGAGTAGCAAAGCTAGATTAAAACTTCAAGCCTTTGTCTAAGTGTCCTGCCCCTCAGACTGAATACAGGGATCTGTGCATGGCCCCGCCCCCTCAGACTAGATTTTTTTTTCCAGGGCTGCTTTGGAATCCCCAGTCCGGCCCTGAGCCCACCGCTACGTCACACTACCCCAATAAGGGTGGG